TTCCAGTCTACCGGCGAAGAAACGACTGGAAAGTGAGGGACCTAGCTCGCAAAGTTCGAAGTCTGCATACGATGCTCGCTGCAATCTACGGTATCTTCATCGCAAGTAAACAGCAGCGGGACACACGCGATTAAGCACCTATGTCGTGCTTCAAATGCTTGTAACATTTTTTTTCGCATCCTATGCACCATATTTTTACCGCCACTTAGTTAGAAATGTTCGTTGTAAAAGTATGAGGCTTTAAAAATTTTTTCCTGTATATGGATTCAGTTTCAAAGAGTAGCATAGGAAAATTGTTAGCGCACTGAAATATGGTCATTTTAACCGATGGATCGTTACATCTGGGATCATAACACCGTATTTACTCGCGTAATCCTCGCACTCGCATAATTCTCACCCCCCCCCCCCCCCATCGCCCAACAAAAACATGATTTTTTTTTTCCTCGAGTAATTATCGCACCCCCGAAAATTGCCGCAATAACATTGTCTGCTCGTTCCAGCCGTTGATGATGATAGCGCACGCCATCTCTTAACCATCAGGCGTGCTACAATTGCACGGGAATTTATTCCAATCCAAGCCAAAGCGGCAATTACGTGCTGCAGCGTGTTTTGTATGTTGTGTCGGTAATCTTGTCACGTTATGGGGCGATACTGAAGCTACACGGCTGCCTGTTGAAAGTGATTGATCGTGCACTAAAAACGGCAACGGGGCCACCGGTAGGCCCTTCGGAGTCAATGAGTTTTGTGTTCGTTACTGGTGACGGCAGCTGAAAGCCATCAAGACGCATTGGGCCTGCCGTGTGCTTAATACTGGGATTGATGGTAAACTTTATCTCTTCAGAAGGAAACTGCGGACAATTCTGTTAAATAGCCATCAGCTACCAATAGCCATCAGAGCAATACTGACATCCTACGCTTACCTTTTAAGGGCTCCTGTTGAGCGACGAACGCTACCGCTACGCCCACAAGCTTTGCGTATGGTATTCCAATTGTCGACTATTTGCTTGCACTTTTTTGTCTCGAATAGATCTTGCCTTGTGTTGAACCTCTGCTTTTATTGTTGAGGTCAATTTTAATTAGTACTTCTTAAAGCTTGCTGTTAGATGCTGGTGTGAGAATCTCGATTTGCGGCCACTCCGTTTTTTTTTTTTTTTTTTTTTTCTTGCTCTACTTTTCGTGGAAAGCTTTCCCCGCGTAATTCTCGCACCCCCCAACTTTGCACCCGTTTTCCATCAAGAAAAGTGCAAGAATTATGCGAGTAAATACGGTAAGTGGGTTGGACTGTAATACACTTCCTGACAGCGTATTTCACAGTAGAATACGTGGTCATGGGCCCGCCGCAGTTTTGATGCCTGAAGGTGCACCCATGACTACCACAAGACTGAACACCGAACTGCGTCGCAGATTGTTATCACCGTGTGCCAGCTTCTGAGGCAGGCCTTGTGGTGCCACCTGCGTCACTGAAATAACCGAATAGCGTTAGATGGAAGGCTGATCAGACATGTTAGCCAAAAGGAGAGTTAATTTAATGTCCCAAAAACAAAACATTGTGCCTTAGAAGAGTCAGTGTAGAGCAGAACTTCAGATCTAGCTTGAGCACTCGGGTTTAACCTACACTCAAGTGTTCTTGCATTCTACTGTACATGAAATGAAACTCTAGACGGAATGTGATCAGCACAGCACCAAGACCCCATAACAAGTCCGTCTTTTTGGTGTAGTAGCTCTCCACCGATACGCAGATGGCAGTGTAAGAACCAAGTGGCAGCTCAGAATGACATCAAAGCAAACATGTTTTGCAAAAATTTTCAAGGCGAGGAAGCTTTACAAAAAGAAATTGTCATGTTAAGGGGAGATGCGGGTCGAAAAATCGCGTTTTTTGCGAAAATTTCCACTTTTGAGATATTGCTTCTAAAATCACTTTTGATCATTCAACTATCATTTCCCCAAAGGTCATAGCTGAATTCAAACGAGAAAGTGGTAAAAAGTCGATCTGCGCTAGTGAAGGTAGCTGCCGAAGTCGCGAATTCACGCATCCGACGGCTATTTTTGAAAATCCGCCACTCGGCAACACGATGACGTCCGCCATCGGGGTTTGTTCGGTGGTGTAGATCAAGGCTCCTTCTAGTGTACAGGCGTCCCCCTAGTTTCGTATTTTAGTGAGGAATTTCACAAAACAGTCGTTTCCAAGTCGGTTTGCAGCCAAGCTGCAGCCGCTTCGCGCATCTCTACCGGTCACATGGTACGCTACCGAGGCCGCCATTGGCTACATCTGATCGGCCTCGCTCGCTGAGCGCTTGCGACGATCGGCACTTGCCGTGCGTTTCTACGTTTTTCCGAGTTCACCATGGATAACTCGAAGAAGCGAGACTTCCGAGCACGAAAGTTTGCAAGCAAGAACAAGTACCAAGGGCGTCGACGTAAACCGAAGCGCAAAGCAGCGGTAGAAGAATGCGAGCCGCGGGCCACTAGGCCTAATCAAGGCAGCGGTGATACGGCGGCTTGCGGGAACTTTGACGAAATCGACGCCGCGATCAAGTTCATCAGCGCATCAGAAAAAAAGATTGAACAGTTCGAAAGCGAAAGAACGAAGAGTGTTTGTGGCTCTGTGAGCGGAGTATTTTGTGACATCGGCGCACTGACATCGATGGTAAGCCGTGCTGTTTGTCCAACATGCCACACCGCTGGACTCGTCGTTCGCGACACCGCAAGTAAACGTAAGGGCCTCTCTTCGTTCCTCGAGCTGCACTGTGATAACAGTGAGTGTCCTGAGTCAGTGGTTTCTGCCGCGCATAGTTCGCGGCGTGTTCTGCCGGAAAGACAGCCCACCGATGCCGGTGATGACTGGAGCTACCGAAGCGGCAGCTCGCGTGACAGCTTCGCTGTCAATGTGAAGGTAGTTGTGGCTGCGCGTGCAATAGGCATTGGGCATGAACAGCTGTCGCGTTTTTGCGCTATTCTTGGACTGCCAATACCTATGCATCATAAGACTTTTATTGCAATTGGCAAAAAAGTTCATGCTGCAGCTACCAAAGCTGTGCAAGAAAACCTGGCGAAAGCGCGGATGATAACTAAAGAGAAAGTGGATGGGGCTGATGTTGCTGTCATGTATGATGGCACATGGCAAAAAAGAGGGCACAAGAGCCACAATGGCATCGGCACTGCTGTGTCTGTGGACACTGGTTTGTGCCTAGATTTTGAAGTGCTATCGAATTACTGCCTTGCCTGTAGCCGGCACCAGGACTTGGGTGATGAGGAAGAAATATGGCAAGCATTCCACACACCTGTCTGCGAAAAAAATACAGAGTGCTCCTCTCATGCCATGGAGACTGAGGCAGCTTTGCGCATATGGGGCAGGACATCCTCATACACAACACCATTGCGCTTCACAAAGTTCCTCAGTGATGGGGACAGCAAAGCTTATACCGCTGTCGCTGAGGCCAAGGTATATGGTGAAGCTGTTGTGGACAAGGAGGAGTGCACAAACCATGTGGCCAAGCGTCTAGGCACTGCACTTCGGAAACTGCCAACAAGACTTCCACGAGGGGAAAAGCTGACAGATGGCACAATTCAGAAGCTGCAGAACTATTACCGTATTGCAATCACAAACAACAGAGGTGATATTCTGAAAATGCATCGTGCCATCTGGGCCTCATATTTCCATTCATCATCGAGCAACACAGCAGGCAGCCACCGATACTGTCCAGAAGGGGCGACTTCCTGGTGCAAGCATAGGCGAGCTGAAGCGCTTGGGGAGGCCCCACCCGACCGCACACCAATCTTGACCAAGGCTCAAGGATTGGCTGTGCTTCCCATTTACAAGCGGCTCACAGATGAAAAGTTGCTGGTGCGTTGTATCCAAGGGAAGACCCAAAACGCTGCAGAATCTTTGAACAGCAAAATCTGGTTGTTGTGTCCGAAGACTAAGTTTGCCTCCCGGACAACAGTGGAAACTGCAGCTGCTATGGCCGTGTTGTGGTTCAATAAAGGACATTCAAGCTTTGAACACGTGCTAGAGGAGCTTGGTGTAGTCCCACCAGATCAACTGATCACCCTGGGCCAATCCCGCGACCAGAGGAGAATCGAAAGAATGTCTCCGTGTGAAACAGCCGAGGCAAGGGCCCATCGGCGGAACGTGGCAAAGAAAGCGCGCCTTGATGACTCCCTTCTCAAGCGGCGAGAAGGATCCACATATGGAGCAGGACAATTTTAGGTGCTCTAGCTGTGTCCCTTCTATGATATCACCAAGTTTTGTGCAAATCGCACTGTGTAATCATGAGTAAACATATTTACAACTTTCAAATGCATTTTTCTCGATTTCCATTTTGAGGTAATTCTCTCATCTTGTGCACAATCTTTTTTAGGCATAAAATAGTCCTATCTTGATGAAATTTTGCACAGAGCTTAATCAGCCACTCTAGAATACAAGTATCTACTTTAGGTTGCATTATACATCACAGATTTTTTGTTACACAACTTGATACACTGATAGAGAGATGTAAAATATGCATTTAGTACTTTTAATTTTTTTTTTTAATGTAGCAAATAAATTTTCTGTTTGAGGTACTTTTCTGTATTGTACTGCTCAAGTGCAGCAGAATGAGCCATTTTGCAATTCTGTGTGAAAATTTTTAGTAAGCTTTATTATGTGCACAAAAAACACTATATTTTGATATCAAAGTTGTAGTAACTCCGGAACTACTATAGCTATCAAACAAATAATTGCAGTTATGAAATCAGCACTGCAAGCTTTACTAACACCTAAAATTTCAAGGAGCTGGGTTATGAAATAAAAAAAAACCTTTTTCGAGTAGCATCTCCCCTTAAGGCCAATTGTTACCAAGACAGCTTCCCTGGTATATGCTACTCAATGACATAACATTAGCGTCAAAGTGAAATTTTACTGCAGTTGATCATTAATCAAGTTGGTTGCGAATTAACCTATTCACAAATTTTTTCTCAACTAGCTGCACTTTCAAATCCAAGTACACCAGTACACCTACCAGGGGCTCGAACTGGGCGCAACTGGGTTGGTGTGACTATCTTGGGGCTCGCAACAGGAGTCGCAGCAGGAGGCGTAGATGGGGCAGCTGTAGCAGCAGGAACAGCAGGTGGTGGTGTAGCCACCGGCTGCGCCGGTGGTGCCACGGGAGGTGGGGGTACCGTGTTGGTCGGTGGCACATCGTAACGCTGTAGCTGCAGCACGTAGGCGTCCGCTGCAAAGGAAGCAATGAAAACACTGTGGTCGGGCTGCCTATATCGAAAGGGTGTATACCACATTTACCCGAATGTAACACACATTTTTACAAGGACATGGGTTCCATCTTCCCATATGGAATATGGCAATGCTGCCTGTGCAATAAAATCAAATTAAGAATAAAACAAAATTATGTTGACAGTGTCATAACATACCACACAAAAGCCACATCATTACCACTGCAACACGACAAAGACACTCCACGAGCGAGTTTCGTAAATGTGGCCGTGGGTTCATATTCTGCTCAACTTCAACCTTCAACAGTATTCTCGGTCAGTTCGAAGATACTATCCCTTTCAAAAAATTGACTCAGCACAGGATGCTTTGGATATGCCAACACATCCAATTTTGTTGCACAAGATCATGCGAGATGGGTATCAAGCTGAGCATGCAACAATATTGAAAACTAGATGGACAATAGATTTGAAAGCACATCTAGACTCCAGTGTTTACAGTATAAACTAGCCTTATCTATGTAATGCAGTCAGAGAAAAAAGCATTGGCACAAGGAAGGATTACAAAAACAGCCATCAGTGGGGCTAGTCATTTCTGACTAGCCCCACTGATGACCGTTCACTTTTCAGCACCTTCAAGCGATGTAACACACAAAATAAGCAAATAAACTGAATATTCCATTTCTCGGCCATTAGAGAATTAGGTGCCTAAAACAACAAAAATAATAAGCTCATTCTTGTGAACACAGGCTTGTCAGAGCAAAACAGTAATAAAAAGTGGAAAGTGGGTGGCCAATGCCCCTTTTATCAACATCAACAAAGTGTGACACCGTGGGTCTTGAAAGCGCATCTCAAGTTGGGCCTTTAAAAGGTATAGTCTTGCATGCCAGATTATTCACTCATGCGAATAAGTTTGAGGACATTTCTTGAACTACAGCAACCAAAATATGAAAAAAATGTATCTCATAATTTGCCACAGAATGAGAAATACTTATGCAACATTTTGGGAGATGAAACTGAGTAAAATGGAAGTTGGACCTTCCTTCTACAAGGGCTCTAAAAAATATTATACTAGTCTACATTACTTTGTACTCCACTTTGCCATTCTTTAAACTAACCTCACAATAAAGGAAACCTTCAAACAAGTCCAACCTGTGGGCACGGTTCCCCAGCAGACCTCCAGGGTAGCCGTGGAGGCGCGCACAAGCTGTACCCTAGTTGGCGGCGGCGGCTTTTCGGTCTCCAGGTACCAAAGGTCCTTACAACAGACCTGGTTGTTCCACGCCTTGCGGTACCCGTCCCGACCACTCCAGATGTACAGGCGAGAGTTGATGGCCACTGAGCAGTGGCCCGCTCGTGCGCGCGGCACGGCTTCCTCGAACACCTCCATGGCCAGCGGCTCCCATGCCATGGTGTCCAAATTGAGTGAGGCCAGGGTGTTGGTACACTTCCACTCTTTCTCGTGCGTCGACGCCTTGTTCTCGTCCATCACCAGCGGCACCCACCCACCAAAAACGAACATGCGCTGGCCAATCAGAGTGGCAGAGTGGAGGCTCCGAGGCAGCGGAGCCACACCGCCTACCTGCGGTTTGCTCCAGCTCATCGAGTCCACATCCAGCTGCCAAAGGTCACCCAGGCGACAGCCGCTCATGCCACCATAAACGATGAGCCGCGGCTGTCGCCCCTCCCGACTTTGATAGGCTACCGCTGTGTGAGACTCTCGCGGAGGAGGGGGCTGCCCGAACACCTGTGGCACGTCCCACGCCATTGAGCTCGAAAACGGCCGAAGCTCCAACGTGTACAAGTCATTCAAGTACCTGCATGTAGAGTTGCAACATGGCCGCTTTCAGATAGGCGTATGCACCCACCTACACAGATTGCAGCCACCACACAATCTTGCGTGTAACAGGTATGATTGCATAAGATAAAACTTAGCCCCAACTGATCGACTAAGATGAGAGAAGGCCTGTCTAAGAATAAAAATCCTTTAAGTGACCGCAGCTCTTGATGCAAGGTGCTTCACATAAATTATGACGCAATGACGCAACTTACACTACTTGCAGCAGCCAAGCTATTTATACAAACCTTGACCGCTTGAGATGCTATGTACACAATTGTGTACAACACTTGTTCTTGCTATTTGCATCAAGAAGATGCTGAGAAAGAGCGAGATATATAGAGTTTTACATGAATTAACCCTGCTGCATAGTAAATTTGTGTTCATTTAACTTTATTTTTCAGTGTACCGTTGCATATGGTATCTGTTTTTTAAGGCAGTACCATGTTCTATGAGCCGTGCAACGTGCAGTTTTCTGCAAGTAACGGAAAAAGCAGAATTTTTTTTTTTTGCCCAAAATGGACATAAGCAAAAATGAATTTGCATTATATTCTTACCCCGCGATTTTGTTCCGTTTATGCTGAAAGTAAGCATCAATGACTTCAGGGTAAAGAGCTATTTAATTACAAATTTATTAGGATGAGTTACCATAACACACATACATTCAAAAGATTTTTCATTATTCTTGATGCAACAAAATATTGAGTGCTTTGAAGTAACCGTGTAATGATTTCGCACATTTACGGACAGTTCTTCATAAGTGGCATCTGAAAAGGTTAAAATATGCTTCAAGAACTTTCTTAGCAACAATCAAAGGCTAATTATTGTTTTCATAATTTACTAAAATAATGATAAATCAATTTTCACCCTACTAGCACTGGCATAATTATTAAGCAAGTAAACCCGCTGTAACAATGTTTCACAACAGCCTCATAATCTCCCAATACTGGCTCCATCCATGAGTTCCGTTCAACATGAGGAGCATCTCTCACCGAGGTATGTTGTTCTTGGGGTCATCACTATCATTGGCCAGCCCGCCAAAGAGGAAGGCTTTGTTGCCGATGAGTGTGAAGCTGTGTCCCAGGCGCGGGCACGGCGGCCCCGGGGCACCCCGGGGCGGCCGCGGTTTAAGCCGCTTCCACTCCCATCGGCTGGCCTGCAGCTCGTACAGCTCGTTGGAGTACTTGCCGTACTCCACCATGCCACCGAAAACCAGCAGTCGCGTTCCATCGCACACAAACCCATAGGCAGCACAGCCCGGAGGAATGTCTCCTTTGACCGGTGGCACAAACCACTGGTTAGTAGCTGCAAGCACGAACACAAAAGCCACCACAATCAAAACAATTTTCACTCGGGTATAAGACTGCTCTAAAAAAAAAGAGAGAAAAGATTGAAAGGAGGGCGCATGAAGTCATAGAAGTGAAACTAGAAGAAGCACAGCACATGACGATGTCATGGAATGACTACACTCACGCCTAGCTTTCCAAAATATACAACTGGTGTGACGTTGATGCCCGAGGACCCCTACCAAACTTGAACGAGGCAATGAATGAATACTCCCTCGTACAAGATGATGTCTGTATCACAATAGGGAGCTTGCATGAACGGCGGCTACGCTATGCACTCTGGGTAGGCAGCCATTTTTTTGTCAGAGGCGGCTGGGGAGTGCAGCAGCGCAGTCGTGTTTCCAGGCGTTAGCGTAACTTACAAGCATGATCGAGTGCTTAGGCGAGGCAGATCTAACTCCAGGAAGCGTCGAGCACGATGTCAGCCTCACCAGAAGACTACACCGCAGCGCTACCCCTGGAAAGCCGACTGTGTAAGTGACGCGGCGTTGTGGCCACGCATCAACAGCTGCGATATTCATGAATTTCTCGTTCCGAGAACGAGTTTGAAAACCCGGGAGCAGATCAAGTCCAGAAAGGCCCTGAAGGGTCACAACTTTTTGAAGAGTGGCCGAGTGCGGGAGCCGTGAGCGAAGAAAGTTGCCGCCGACACCGTGGTAGTCGTCGCTCAAGTAAGAAGTATTAAATTACTTGATTTTGCCATAGATGCTAATGTTTGTTTCTGTTCTGATTAAATTCTCAGTGTGTTCACAAGGCCCCCATCGACATTTAATGCACAGTAATTCCAGTATTTTTCTGTTGTGCTTCCGCACAATGCACAACAAAATGCAGTACACCACTGCAGCTTATGTCTCTGTAAAGTTGGCTTTCCCTTTGTAATTTTTTTTTTTTTGTCGTGTATGAGGTCGCTCAACACATGACCATGTATTTTGCAACTTAATCCTTTCATTGACTCTCGAAAAATCCTAGAGGAGCAGCTGCTGTAACTTAGTGAGCGAGTGAATAAGTTTGTTCAGTTCCCGCAGGTTTCCAAGCTGGGTTCTCGCCTAGGAGCTGGCTGAGATATCGCATCTACCGGCGGTTTTCTTGTCCTGCTGGATCGCAGATTTCGTGGTCTAATCCCAGACTGAGCAGGGTGACCTTCTAATGCACCCGAAAGTAATTAGAAGCAGTGTCCCTAGTTCTGCCAATCAGTGATGGAAACTCCTAGAGAATATGCGCTAGTGTGGCCCTAATAGTGCAGCACTTGGAAAAGTCTGTCGTATACAAATCAAGGTGCAAGTGATTCATAATGATGGAATTAGTGTAGCAAGCTGTTTGTCGTTGCTGCCACTGAACAGAGCGGGCCCAGTTGAGATTGGGTTGGGTGGTATTTCTGTGGCTGAATTTTGTAGTGCCCAGTAATATATCTGAATTTCTTCATTCTCCCCCCCTCTCGCGTTGATAAACAGGATGACATTCGAGACAGATGAAGCTTGAAACCTTGAGCCCCATTGTGCGGCACCTCGTCAATAATGGCCTCCATGTGGTTGATGGGTGTGCGGGCAAAAAACCAGGAACCACTACATTTTTTCTGCTAAAACCTAAAAACGTAAGTGGTCAAGAGTAACACCAGTAACATAACAGCAGATGACCATTTAAAAAGTTACCCCAAGACCGCTTCCTTATGCCACCCTAATATTACACCAATTAAACTGAAGCCAGAACTGTTCAACTGCTCAATAACTACTGTTCAATAACTAATGATGATGTATTTAACTTGTGAAAACTGAAAGAATTAAATGCACTAGTTCTTAATCATGCAAACATTTATCCATATATTGCTGTGGTGCAATTTGTGTGAGCACTAATTTTTACATTCCACATTTTCCCATGCTTAAAAACTTTTTTTACACGCACCCGAAGTTTGTGTAAGCAAATAATGATGCGCACCATTCAGATTGTCCGAATTTTGGCGTTCCACAGACCAGTTTCTTTCTCATCGTCGTCAGTTTACAAATAACCTAAATTTTGGCGGATCTGAAACTGCCAGAAAGCAGTGTCCATGAAAGCGAAAGGGAATTGATGAAATTGAAACGCTTCAAGTCACTCTAGATCGTTCGAACACCATCGGAGATCAGCAACAGAGAGCGTCTTCAACGTGCACACCATGGTTTGCAGCTCAAGACTACCACACATCGCTGAACTTCAAAAATATAACGAAACTGTACGGCGGGATTACGCAATGGGCGACATAAACCCAGCGAACACATCAAATACGAACCACTGAAGAGCACTGAGTAAAGTTATAACGGGCACTGCGATCGGAACAATCTTAAGCTATGCTTTGGCTTCTAAAGTTTCAGAAACCGAAAATAAATGCGGCACGTAGAAATGGCAACACTGTTGCTGCAAAAACAAAAAAGGCGCCGCAAAGAATCCGGCGGCAGCGCACCAGCCACCAGCAGAGGCGCCGCGTACGATCTGACGCGGCTTAGGCCTAACCGGCGCATAGGAGCGACGACTAGCACAGAGCAGGAACACATTCAGACGCCCCTACACTACCGCTTTCATTCAGCGTTTCACAGAAGTCGAGGAAACTTGAAGGTGACGTACGCGTTCTTAACTGTACGCCGATGGTGCGAAAACAACGCCATATATTCCAAACTTCCGTCAACTAGCGCGCGCGCACTGCGCCCGCCATGGTAGCGAACATAGTACAAACAGACGCCATCTTGGGAGAAGTTCTCAGGACCGCCTAACACAATCGGCTCGCACTCTTGCTGTTCACCGCAGATCGCGAAGACAACGCAAAGCAACAACGCCCGGGGCATCGCGGCCAACATCGAGCCGGTCCGATAATTTTTTCTTCACGGCACTCGACGAAAACTGCACGAAACGTTTTCTCATGACACTCATAGGGCGCCGCCATGTTGGATATGACGCCGAAAGTGCGTTACGATCAGCGTCAGATCGTTCATTAGCGAGCAGTCAAGGATCGCAACGCGCGCAAAGCAACTTTATATGCTTCCCTGACCAATATGCAATGAAACGAAGGGTGCCGAAAACAATCACGGCTCGTGCGGCTCCAACTCCTGCACCCATAGACAATACACGGCGCCATGTTAGCAAGCTGCACGGAAGCCGAGCCCGCCAAAGTTCTTACATGTGTTGTAGACGTGAAGTTCATCCACTATCCCTTCGTTGCCACCGCCGAACACGATCATTAAATCTTTGATAGCAACAGCTCGGTGACCATGACGAGGCCTTGGCGCTGGTCCTGTTGTATTTGTAACGCGCTTCCACTTCAATATGGGTGCCGCCATCTTGAATCATACCCACAATGCTAGTGTAGAAACCGAAGATGCCCGGATGATAAACAACATTCAATATCAGGGTAGAAACACATAACCAACAAAATTTATCCACCGGAACACTTACAAAAAATGTAAAACATTTTTTGTGATTGTTTCATGTGATCTGCTTTGCAGTTACTTGAAGTTTTATTTCCCATTTTGGTGGGACGACATTTTCAGCCACTCCTGGCTCGACCAAACAGTTGGTGCGCTACCGCGCTGACAGCGGCAACTGGCATGCAGGGAGTGGATGGAGAGAAGGGGAGAGCACTGCAGGCATTCGCGCAGTTCAGAGAGCTCAGAAAAACTTTCACTCTCCTGCTCGTGGTTGCGCAAAGCAGCATTTAATTGATAGGTACAGCCGTTAAAGATCTGCAGGCTACTCTAGGAAATACAGGCTGTGTCTGCATACTGCCAGGTTGCCTGTGTTGGCTGTTGGGAGTGGCCGATTGTTCTCGGATACCCTGCTCTGAAAACTTTTCTGTCCCGTGTCGGCATTCTGCATCCGCAACAGTGCATCCATTTAGCTCACATGTGTATTCGCACGGAATGAATGAGGGGCAAAAAAAAAAATGGCTTTTTCTTAACGAAACTGCGACGTAGGCTAAGATAGCGAATTCTAAGGATTTGCTGCATGAACCCATTGCGCCCGTTTGAAGTTTGTGGGCGTCACCCGCCCTCGCTATCGTCCTTCGAGCAAGAAAAAAAAAAAAAGAAACAGTGCTTTTGCGGAGTTGCGCTTTGAACGTGAGTGATTAGATCGAAGCGCAACAGTTGCATTATTAAGTACAAGGAATAAAAATGTGCACCAATTCGGACTTGGAGGATCTGTTACCAAAAGATTGCGGGCGTTTGACTCGGGTACGTGTTTGTTTCTATGGTTAAAGTTTATGCAAAGAAAAAAGCGTCACCGCCGTTCGCAGCCTAATTCTTGCTACTCTGAATGCGAATGCACGAGGATAACAGGAGGTTCTTTCATTTTCAAATCTTCATGTACTGATGCACATGTACGGGTAATAAAGCAACGCAAGTGCATAACTGGGAAACAAAACATATTCGTGGTGTAAGAAATTGGATAATTATTCCAAAAAAGAAGATAATAGGAACGTGCAAGGTTTGTATAAACTGGCTATACAGACGACGATTTAATTTATCAGGAAATTATTTTTCATCTCTTGGAATACGGGATCGCTATAGACCATCCGCTCATCGAATCATCAGTCCTGTGTTCAGCTAGTACGCATGGTTCGGCGTGTAAATCAGCAAAAAAAAAAAAAATCTGACAGCGATAGATTTTCTTTGTCGACAATATTGCGTAAGACAAAGCATAAAATTGATTGTAGATGTTCTGTGGAAAAATGAGATTACCGCAGCCGCGTTCTGAGTCGTCGCGAGCTTCTAAAAGGTGCCCTTAATTTTTTCTCCAAAAATATTACTGGGAAACCGAACTCTTTCGTGTGGCATTTTTAATATTGGTGAGGGTCAATTGATGGCTTCCTAGACGTCATTCAAAGTGTTGTCGTGGAAAAAGAAAAAAAAAGTATCTAAAGGTTAGATTCATTCGCTGCCACTGCATCATATGCAGTCTATATAATCAAAGTTCAGTGAATGGGCAACGTATGACTGCCACAGTGTCACGTACTGCGTTCCTCAGTCAGACGAACTTTTATTTACTGCGTTGCCCGTGACAATTTTTAGTTTCGATCTTGCTCCAAAATTTTGCAGTTGGTTTTCTTATTTGTGAGTCAAATTTTCAGGTAGTGTTCCCTCACAAGGAAACAAAGCTGAAGGTACCACAACAAAGCTGCCAGAATATTAGTAGCTGAATGTTCGGAATGCTAAATAGCAGCGTGTTAAATGACGGCGACTTCATTAATGCTAGATTTCTCTTGCTTGCAGATGGTACGTACCGCGCATATTGTCAGTGGCCTCAGAAGTGACCAGTGTGAAGAGGGGGAAGGTTTGACCTCACAAATAATATAGCACAGAGGAACAAGAAATTCAACATAAACACAATATCTTAGAATAAGTCAGCTTCGTGCCTTAGTGCGTGAAACCTGCAGGATGCTGATGACCTCTGATGGATGGCGCTCACCCACAGAGGGGGATGGGCCAAGAACCGGGCGGCAGGATACTTAAATGAAACTATATTGAAAATGAAGCCAATCTGAAAAAGTAGTTTAAAAATAATACTACAAAAAAAAACAAAAATGTTTGCTGAGCAAGCGGTCAAACCATCTCTTGTTTTTGATAGACATAGCTACGAATTATAAACTATAGATCTGACAAGGTTAGGGTTAGGGTTCACTAGTACGGTAATCTTTTATAAGTTGCGTTGATGTAATCAAACACAGTGGAGCACCTGCAGGAAGTGCGGAGCTGGACGTACTGCCTGGTTTCTTTCTTCTTTTTTGTCTGTGTTTATTTCTATTCCTTTCTTCGGCCTTTTTTTTATTTCTCGCCGCAACTGTTTTTTTATTTAGCTCTGATTTTCTTTGTTCTCTACCTGTCCTTGTTTTTTTTTTTCTTTCTCTCTTTCCCGCAATCCATAATTGTTCTCTCACTCACCTGAGTTATCGCGTCCCACGACGAACAAATCGGCGCACGTGTTCTTCTAGCCTCGAGCAGAACCGCTCTGTGAGCGGAACATCTAGATGTTCTGTGGCGGAACACGGTGCAGAAAGCACACGGAGGAAGCTCCGTGAGAAAACACGTGCACGTTTGTGATGATGATAGCTTCCGCTATCAAAATGATGATGACGATAGTCTTCCGCTAATAATACAACGCCGCAGAAGAGAAAGGGCAATCTTACTATACGGTTTCAGACCGCAGTGGTGAAAATGTAGTTACCGACAGCTAAGATGCACCATTTCCCCTTTCAATGTTTTTGTCTCCGTGTCGTCGTTCTGTTCTCGCGCTATGACTATCTTCGCATTTCGATCGAGCCGGCCGATCTTTGCGGTCAAATCAACATCAACAGTATGCACTATGCAGCACTTCCTGTGCTGTGTCCAGCACTGTGGTGTGCCGGGATATGCGTGTGTCAGCGCGAGCCAACGTTGCTAGAATATTCTAGTAACGTTGGTGCGAGCTAGCTAACGCCTGCGCGATCGCAGCTGCCCCATCGCACCCGCATCGACTCGGTGCCAGCCACGGAGGAAGGAAAAAGGCTTTCCTTCATCCGTGGTGCCAGCTGTGGGGAAGCTTTACGACAGGGGCAGTGCGATGCGCTGATCACGCAATCCCTAAGCGCCCACTGATTTTGAGTTCACAGCTGGCGCTCGATGCAATTGCGTGTCCTGTAATATTTGTGCAGCATGCAAGTCTATCGTCGTGCTATTATTTAGATGCCTACACAACGTAATGCTCGCGTTTTATCAGCCGCAAAAGTTTTGCGTTAACGTTCGGTTACCGATTAAATCAAGACCGGCGACATCTCACCATAAAAAGGTGCTCAAGACAGCGCGGTGGTAAAACGCCTGGACATGCGAAGCCAGTCACCCTGGAAGAAGCTCTATTCCTTAGCCAGCATAACCACACTTACCCCCATATTCGAATACTTCCTTGACTTGAACTTGCCATCGCCTTCAATGCAGCACAAACACGTTTCGAACGCACTCCCGTATGCGGTGCCAAGGTAGAACAAATGCGTTTCAAACGCCCTGCATTGATGGCGGGGGCAAGTCAAGGAGCGTTTCTGAATACAGGGCTTAGGCTTTTCTCGGAACATCGCGGCGACGGTGACAACCAACCTAGGATGCTCAAATAGTGGCTGCTGTAATGACTGGTGCTGTGCTACAAGCTGTTATGTACAAAATTGTCTATACCACCATACAAAAACCCCTATTGGGGCTGGTAATATTGTAAATAATAAAAGTAACTTAGGAACGTGTTACATCCCGTGTAACCTACACAGACATGGGCATAACAAAAAAAATTATGAAATGTGCTTTAATCGAAGTGTGAACACCAAATTTTTTTACATTTATGCATTTAGACATTTTTAATTTGATAGCGTTAAAAAGATCGTTCCACAGAAATTCCGGTGTCAGCATCGGTGTATGTGAGCCAGGGTGCAGACAGCGCGGACGGTCCGGTGTTACCGCCGCAAGTAGAACAGCGTGTGGGGTCTACGGACCCAGAAGACCAGCGAAGGGCCGTCCGGCAGCTCGAGGTCGCACTGGCGCTGCAAAGGCGAAAGGGGGACACCCCCAGTAACCCGAGCGGCGACGGGGCACGAAGGCCTTGAGGTCTAGGCCCGCGTGACATTAGGACTTCTAGTGTAACGTGAGATAGGGTGAACCCCACGCCCTGCGCGGCCGGAGGGAATCCCGCATGCTGGAACCCAATAAAGTTTATTCTCTCTCTCTCTCAGCATCGGTGGTTGTGAGCAAAAAATCATTATCTTATGCGTGACTGAAAAATCGAAAATGATGGATATAAAAAATTAATGAATCATAAAAAAATCCTGGAGCAGAGTGGGGACCAAACCAGGGTTGTTCTGGTCCCAGTGGAGATCGAACCCGGTCATTTGCGTGGCAAACAGATGTTCTACCACATGGCCACGCCTCTACTTGTGAAAAAAGTGAAAAGAACTTCCTCTGCTTGGAAATGCAGTGAAAGTAGCTTTCATGCTTGACAAACACACGCATTTTGTATACATTCTTCACAATGGAACATGAAATATTGCTGTAATAATGCGTGGTACAAGCGTGCATTGCCAAGGGACGTCAGAATACGCGATTATCAATATGGCCCCATGGTTGAAAGCCGGTACCCCAAAACAAAAGGCACACACGCTATCACGCCTATTCCTTTAAGGCCACGTAGTGGGCGCATAGCAAATTGGAAAAGCTTTCATGCACTAAGTGTTTGAAATACGCACTAGGAACACTATCGCATTCAACTCCTAAAGGTGAAGCTTTCGGGTCCCCTAATTTTATTATGAAATCAAACCAAAGTTCAGTGTAGATTTAAGCTTCTGGCAGTAAGTGATGATTCCACAACTTGTTATGCACTCCAGGGTTTTATGTGCGCCTTAAATATCTCAGTCTTGAATGAAGTAGGATAATGTGGAAGCTTTATAGAGAGGCACTATAAATGCTAAAATTTCAGTGTTGCAGATTAGCAGCTTAGACATTGCAAATGGCCACATTCTGACATGCAACTTTTTGTATTGTCCCCTAACTGGTTAACGTTAGCTGCATTGTTTGGCCATGCGAATGAAGAATGAACCCGTAGCCTGATTCGAGCTCAGCAGCCTGAAAACATGTTTCATAATACAGTTAGCTAACACAAAACTTTTGATGACTAATTCGAATGAGCTGAGTTGAAGTTAACTGCTTGGAAGTAGACTAATATGGTAACAGAAATCTGCTGTTACATTATCAAAGACACAGAGAAGTCTGCAAGTGAAAAAAAACACACAGCTAAATGGTGACCAAAACAAGTGTTTAATACAAAAGTGACCAGGCTGTAACAAATCCTGATCACATATTTGTTGCAAGTGAGGTCTGCCTGCAAGGCAGAGGAACATGGTTTGTATTTGACTAGGTTTTGATGAGCGGCTTGGCTTCGGCTGGTGAAGGCAGCGCAGCTTTGATGGTCTCCTTTAGCTGTGCAGCAACAAACAAGGACAAATGACACAACCACTCAGACAAGTGAAACAGACGTATGAAAAGCAGTAACTCATTCCTTATGGAAGAGCACTTGGTTAGCGTTGCCTGGTGTTAAGAATGACGAAGCTTGTCAATGCTCAACCTCTTCTGTTAAGTCATTTGTGTCTTTTCTGTCACGCTGCCAACTCCTTCCTGCTTAAATTCCAAACTGTCTTCATTGGAAATAGACATGTCATAACTTCATTGCCCCTCTTCTATACATTGTACTTGCACACATTAAGGTCATTTCTGAAAAAGCCAGCGACCACCAAACTATCGGCCACCCAATCACCACCAACGCTGGTCCTCAGTTGAGTGATCTAGGAACAGACAGCTTGTACTAAAGAGTCTACGTACGGTAGGTGGGAACTAAAGCCACAACATGTGCATAGCATTGCATAATGGGAAAGCTCAGGCCACAGAATGAAGATGTAGACACACCTTTTTTCATTCTTTGCAATTTAAAAAAGCAACCATGGAGTGAGAACATCGTGATGTTTTGAAGACCCCAAACTGGATTTTGAGCTACACATGCGCCAATGCGCCATGAATGCCACTGTTGTAAAAGGCTTTGAGTCAACAGCGCAGTTCAAGAAACACATGACGTTTCCAATTGAAGTGAGCTTATGGCCGCAAAGGAATAATTGTTTTCAACCAAAGGGGCTCCATGAGAAGTTACGGCAAATGAGCACCTGGTTGGTTCACATACAACAAACATACTAAACTGGGACAGCGCAGCAGCTTCACAAAACAGTGGTCCCCGACCATGAATATTGCATGAATGCAGCCAATCACTGTCATTTTAAATTTCATTTCTCATTCTTCTGTTTTGCCTTGTGCAAGTGGAGTGCCCATGCTCCCTAGCATTGCAACGAAGCTTGTTAAGCCATAGTAGTTTGATACCAGCAGTGCAATTGGAAAGAGCCAGACATCATAGTTAGGCTAAAGCCAACTAACATCTGCACAAGTGATGCAGCTCTTCATCTGTTTGAAAATCGTGCTGACAAAGTCAACATGCACATCAACCACGAAGAGTACACGATCTGAATCGATAGGCAAATCTGCCATTTGAGAACGTCGTGTGATTACTGAAGGGATACCCGACTGTAATAAGACAGATGTTTATTAGGCGTTTCCATATGGTTCGTATATTACCATCCCGAAAGGGCAGTGATTAAGAGACGAGATTCCGGTGGGACTAAAGTCTGAGCCTGCCTTCATGCTAACCTGTTGCACCATTTGTTCTATTATATTTACCAGATCTTCCATATAAGCATTGCAGGTCATTGAAGAAGTAGTGCCCTCAGGCCAAGCCATCCACTTAATTACATAGTGGCTGGCATGCTAACGATAATGTTCACTGCAGTCCATATATGACAAAGAGCAGTGTCCTGAAGTCTGACTTTTAGATTGAAGGAAAATGCCAAAGGCACCACGTAACTAGGTCAAAACAGTAAATAATAAAAGGAAATTGATTTTCAAAGAGCCAGAAAACAATGCTAAATCACAAAAATTGTTATGAAAATAAATATGCGCACTTTTGCTATGTGAACATGCTACTGCAAGAATTTTGTGAATACATGCTATAATAAGGAAGTTACTAGGGGTTGGAACGTCCGATCCAGCTGGTTTCAAATTTTTGCGCGGCCTTGCCGCCCCTTTTCAATATTGGGAGGGGGAGGCATAGCCCACTTATCGTTACTCCTACCCACTTCGGCAACGTGACACAGCATTATAGACATGTCATCGGTGCACAGTCAACGACCTAGCACGGTATTTCTAACATGAGCGCCGTTCGAGAAGCCCCCCTCCCTTAGTGGAGATGCCTCTTTATCTCAGAGGCTTTGGCTCTGGCAATGCCTGCTTCTCCCTGGTAGTCTCATAATATACAAAACGACACAGGGTAGCACAAGGGAAATGAAATTTCAGACTGCGTGATCGAAACTACATCACTGCAGGGCCAAGGCCCAGTTTCATAGAGCAAAGAACCGATTGACAAGCTCAGACGTACGTAAAGTTGCCCATGGGCAAGCATGCATCACTGCACGCAGGAGGGAGATTGGTCAGGTGAAGGAAATCGTTTCTGGAAATAGAAGGTCGGCACAACGTGCCTTACTGTAATATACGGAAAATGTGATTACCGCAGCCTACTGTATAAATTGACGAGAGCTCGTTTGAGGGGTGGAAAAAGAAAAAAATGTCGGAGCGTGTTTACTGGCCCTGTTTCCTCCTGCTTGGAATGGTGAAACTTAAGTGTCAACGTAAGTCTTTGAAACAGTACACCATTTATGCCAATGACATAGGTGTCTTGGCAAGACTAGTGGTACAATGAAGCAATTTTGAAGAGCTATGACAGCTTTCGCATGTGAAGAGTATTCAAAGGGGCCTGACGTATGAACACATTCAAAGCTCGTAAAAACCGGGGAGAGCTGTCACCAGCTTGACAATCCTGAAAAAGATCTTAGCTGCCAATTTCTGCCAGTATGCATAAATGCAGTAAGCGCCACCTTTGTAAATCAATATTTTCCTCTTTCTTATTACTAAATGCGAGGGGAAAGCCCAATTATAACAAACGTGTCTTGCGCAGAAAAGTTGATCATAATACTACAGGTGGGCTCGAGTGTATATACAGGGCACACCTCAACATAATCGAAAATCATGGCACAAAGTAAACTGTGGATTGAAAGGAGCACTGGTGTACGTGCACTCTAGGCAAGGAATTGAATCTGCAGCCTCGCTCTTGGCAACATACTGTCAGTGCTATTCTCCGGCCTCCTGAAGCACGACTGATACGCCACCCTACTGGAGTGGCCCTCATCTAGGGCTGTGACATCACCTTTGCATTCACATAATGCAATCGAGGCTGGGAAATGAACCAGCAACCTCACTACCGGCAACAAAATGTTGGTGCTGCCAGCCACCGCAGCAGGTGCATCCTGTATGCTCTATGCTTGACCTTGTCGGAGTAGCTAGACTGAGACTGAGTGCAACTGCAAGGGCTATGCCATTGTGGCTTTGGCTCCCACCGGCCTCTCCTTCGCGCTTTGCTGCACCTTGATGTACGTGTACAGAAGCACGCCCGTCAGCGTGACCACAATGCCGATGGCCTGCTCGGTATGTACGGGGTCCTGGAAGACGACGAAGCCGCCCACGAGCACGAGCATCAGCTTCATGTGGCCCACCACGTTGTAGCTGTTGCCACATGGTCAAGGAGCATGATAATGATGCATCTTTCTAACTATTATATGCTACAATGAGGCATTACTGAAATAACCGGATTTCACAGGCAACAAAAGAGGGAAGGAATGAAGAAATGAATGAATGCCTGATACACGGCCCTTTCGCTTTTCCATTTTTGTCATTTCATCTTGATGGCACAAAGAACGCAGATATAACAAGTTAGAAAATGTAAAGAAAAGCTGCCATATTTTTTGCCGACATGTGTGTTATGACTATACACTCAAGATAAATTCAACATGGGATATAATAATAGTTTTAGGAGTTTTATGTCCCAGAACCACATTACGGTTATGAAGGGCTCAGGAAATTTTGACCATCCGGTGTTCTGTATCCTGCCCCTAAATCTAAGTAAACGGGCGTCTCGCATTTCGCTTCTATCATCATGCAGTCGCGGTGGCCGGAATTCGATCCCATGACTTTTGGGTCAGCAGCCGAAAACGCAAAATGTAACAAAGATGTTACACATGGTCAATGTGGCTGCGTTAAATATAAGTGTTTGCCCATAAAGCAAGGGATTAATTTATGTACAAGCGGCAAGCGGGCCCATGTTACATATGCAATATAATTGTAGAATTTTATTTTCGCCCTTTCTTAATGGTTCAGAAATGTTGTTTTCCACCTACGACCATAATCGGGCATTCAGTGTGACAGATAATAAGAAGTGAATAGCATTAAACCAAACTATCCCTACATAATATGGGCCTGGATAGCTAAGCATATAATGAGAGCATTTGCACAATTATCCAGTTGTAGTATGCTGTCTTGTGTTTCAATGCAGTATTTGTATTTTTTTTATCTCAGAATTTGAATGAGAACTAAGTTCTATATGTTTGCACATACAATGCGCATGCATCGAATTCGTTGCTTGTGCTCTGCCTTTTTTAACTATGTTAACAACGGCAAGTCATTCACACTTCACTATACTCTTGAAGGAGATTATTAGGTTACCATCGAAAAAGCACAAGAGGTCCCTAAAAGTGCTCATAAGTGGGTAAACCTCATCATTCAAGATGCAATATAACATGCTCCTCCTGTGTGCAAGTTTGCTGACGCAAAAGCACAACAGCCTACCCTTTCAAGTTTGTTATCAAATAGTCTCATCAGACTATGTGAACACTCAGGCATAAAAAACAGCTGCGATGGATCCAGAACACCTTGACTCGCACATTGTTCAAAAGTATGCCAATGCCCATCTCTAGATTTTGGTGTATAATAGCATTTCTTTTGATGGTTAGCGAAGCAAAAAAAAGTGTGCAAGCCATACAACAGGCATTTACAAGTCACTTATGATAGAAAGACTTTTTTCTAGAGCTGTGCAATGAGCTAATAGCAAAATTTTGGGTGCAGAGCAAGTTCGAATATGGAAGTGTCAGCGCAAATCGAATATTTTTCAAATATTTTTCGTATGCCTCTAGAATATCTTTCGAATACTTTTAAGCAAAGTTGTAGAGGATTCCCAAGCATATTCTTGAGAGTTATATAGTAACATGAAAACGTTTCTTATGGATAGGTCGATGAAGCACTAACGGGGTGGTGTTCCATAGTTCTCTTAACAAGAATGAGGCAACGCAAAGGCCAAACTGTATTTCTGTCTATGTTTTAGCAACGGTAGTGTTGCCTACAGAGATGCAGAGATGCTATTCACTCAGCCTCTCCTCCTCTTTCAACACTTGTGGAAGCCCAACTGATGTGACGGACAAAAGTGTGCTTCCTTCAAGTCCGGAATTCCAAATCTGCCTCGTAGACATCAATATATAAAACATATAAAATTTTGGATATTAAAAATTTTCGGTGTTTAATTTTTTCGAACTTGCTGCCCGAATTTCATGTCAAAAACAGCATTAATTGAGTCCCTACTTAAGCCACATTTATCATCTCCATGTTAGAACTGGCGTTTTCTTGAGGCAATACATGTTCGATCATAACAGAGCTTGAAATGTGGCTTTGCCACAGTACAATAATGTAATGAGGTGAAGCATATCAAAACTCTGAGGGGGGGGGGGGGGGGGGTTAGTTGTAATTCGATTGTCTTTGAGAAATTCGACTGTGGTGGACTATAAAAGGCAGCTTTGCAGCAATACGAGAGTATGATGAAGTGAAGCATTTAATAATTATGAACGGTCTTTTTCAATCGGACGTTGACTGTATTTGTCTTTGGGAAGTTTGAATAGCAAAACTCCAGTGGTGATTGAATCTAATAGCACACTATTTGAAAAATATTTGAAATATTGAATATTCACACACCCTTACATTTTCTACTTTTCTGTCAAGTCAACACTCAAATTGTACACATATTGTGGCGTTGGTTCGTTCAACGTGCTTCGGAAGATGCTTGAAGCGCATGATTATTGTGTATTGTAACAGGATACCGCAAATCATGACCGCTTCAGGAACAAGATGAGTAAGAATAGAGGGATTCGGCTCCACATGGTTGCAATTAACAATAAAAAGCACGCTTCCCTCTGACGAATTTCAGCCCCATATTCCAACATCAAGAAACAGTTGGAAAAAGAATGAATGTTTTTCTACAATAGTATACTTGTCTAGGCCCTCTCGAAGGAATCGATCCTAAGTTTCAGGTTACCAGGCAAACACAACTGGATCAGCTTTGCAGTCATCACCAGCAGACGGCAGTGAACATAAAGGATACGTGACTGCAGAAGTGTTCCCGATGATCCAGTATATAGACAGATTCACGAGGAAGGCCACCACACCCGTTGACAGCACCAGCATCTGCAACAGATGCCAGCATTGAGTCTCGGCCTAGAGATGTGTGTAAGCTGAGTGACTCAGAGACACAGCAGAACTAGAGGGCCCAGAGAGGTCCAAATTGTACACCACTTAAGATATTCATAAAACAGGTGTGCACAGTAAAGACATGTCATGAGTTGATTTGATGGATCTTCACTACTGCTGCACACATTACACTACAGTATCAGGTCAGAAGCCCTGTAACACTGCTAGTCTCGTTACACTTTCATTACTGGCTTGTGGAGGATTCGAAAACAAGACAGTCTCATGCATTTATGTGAAAGTAGATTTAGTGCAAATGGTTTAAGCTAAGCTGAAGTGACACCTAATGCACAGCAGAGTGCTGTTTCGCGAAGAACTCTCTTAGTCCCTTGTGCATTCACCAAAAATGACTTAAACACAAAAGCCGTCTTTTTTTTTTCTCTCAGCCGATGTACTGATCCCTCTCCCCTCCACCTCCCACATTGTTTTGCATCTAATAAGGTAGTGCCCTGCTTCCACAATTGAAGGCCCTGAAAACTTACTGCACTTATAATGGTACTGCACTGCCTTCGCAATTAGACAACTGAACAATTGACAATGCCATGTGATGACATCATGTCATGATAAAGTCATGAGGTGGTGCCATAATATGACTATTTTTTGTATCAGTCATGTTGACACTGACAATAATTTTTCACTCTTTATAAGGTATCTAGGGCTTTTTATTTTAACAAGCACCTTAGATGCTCGTAAATATAAAGTCCTTGTTAAGTGCAGTAAACCACCAAAGAAACCAACAGGCAGTGACACAGAAGAAAACTGAAAGCGAGCTACGTAACATCAAGTCCACCAGGGAACCCACCAAGTGCAGCCAGCTCCAGTGCTGGTAGAGGAATCCTCCGGGCGCCCAGGGTGGCTCAACTATCGGCACCAGCACCACCAGCATGAGTGCTGAGAGGGGCGCTTGGTAGAAGAGCAGCTGCATGGAGTTCACCTGGAATTCCTTTTGCTTCTCACCCACCCACTGCACGAGATGAAAGAATCAACTATTTACGACCACAGTCAAAGATGCGTTTCTCCGACAAACTTGGTTCAAAGTTGCAAAGGTCAAAGGCCAGCAAATACAGAACATCTCACACAAAAAGGACTTTGTTACTGCAATGATATTGACGAGCAAAATAGATTAATGCTAAAGGAAAATGCATGCACACAGGACCAGTGCTAAACAGACAAGTGAGGTTATTGCTACCGTCGGTAACATGGTGAGCACACAACTGTTAGCGTTCATAGAAATACACATGAATTCATATGTACAAATGCAGGTCATTTGTTTTCGATGATAATGGTTGTCAGATGTGCTGGGAGACATTATAAAAGCTTGTTTCTGAATAAACCTTGGTTTACAGTGATGCACTGGTAATGTGTCTAAGTTTTCTACTAATGTTCATCTTCTACACTTGTTAAGCTTGCAGTATGTCACACTGACCTGCCCAAACCAACGAACACCTCAGCCTTTGTTGCATTGGATAACTGTGACAAGTCGCTACTGGTGAGAAACATTAAAGACCTACTTTGCTATAATAATTTAATTAATTTGTTATACCCATGTTTATCATTATTTAGGTTAGACTGTACTTGAAAGCCAGCACAAATGCAGTGCACAAACACACTCTAAAAACCAATCTGAAGAATGCCTGCACTGATTTGGAGTAGTAGTTACTTGCTGCACTAGTCTACACATGTCGCAAAGCACGTCTTGCCAACAAGTCAGATGAGATGAGCTATAATATCAGGATCTGAATAATAATATTATTCTGGGTTTTAGGTGGCAAAAGCACGATATGATTATGAGGCATGTAGCAGTCGAGGGCCCCCAAAATTTTGCTCATCTTGTGTTCCTTCTTATACATGCAATGACATTTCACAGTACACCGGCCTCTTGCATTTTGCGTCCATGGGAATTTGACTGCAGCGGCCAGGATTGAGCCTGCAACTATTAGGTAAGCAGCCGCACACTATAATCGCTGTGCCACCGAGGCAAACAGAGCAAGTTCTGCAATGAGCAATTATGCAACATGCAATCGAAATGCCCAAGTGTCACAAAGTACGCACCACTTGATAGAGGGACGTGACGACTACACCGGCCAGGGCGTAGCATGTGCCGAGGATGTTGAACCGGATGTCATAGTAGGTGCTGAGGTACACGCCCAAGGTCAGCGGTACCTGCGCAGACCTGTTTGGATCAGGTTCATACACAACCCTGCCATAAACATCACCGTTCTCGGCATGAATACTAAACGCTCTTACGTTCTTCTTCAAGCTTCTATACAAAGTGGAATTATTGATGCAAGAAAGCTGCCACTTTGAAAAGGGTAGGAAACTAGAGCATCTCATTTGACTGTCAATTAGTGACAACGTGGAGTATTACGCACAGAAACATTATAATGCCGCCGGCGACCGTGCAGCCGAGTAAACTCGCAACTTATAAAAGATGTTGCAGCCGGTGTTTACGCTGCGTTCTTTTACCGTCACGCGTGCGTTCTGAATGGTGTAGGTCTCAAATATATGCTCCCAAGACAAGCCTGCGTAACAACGCTGCCGAGTTTTTCATGCGCTCACCAGCGTGAGTTTGATGCCCAGCGAGAAGCTCTTCTTGTACCAGTAGTGCTGGATGACCATGATGGTGGGCATGGTGAGCGTTTTGATGATCTGGTAGGTCCCCACCGTGTTGTGACCCAGGGAGAGGTTGGTGAAAACCACGAAGCCGCAGAAAGTCGTGGCGAGCGGCAACATATGACGCAGCGGCAGCTTCTTCACTTGGAACACGTTGAGCGCGCGGCACACTAGCAGGCCCGCGAACGTCATCGCAAAGTGGTACATGGTCATGGTGATGTTCGGAAAGTTGACGTACACGTACACCCATTTGTTCAGGATCACAATGAGAATGGACAGTATCACGTTCCACGCCAGGCACAGTGCCGTGAAGCGGTTGTTGGTGATCACCGGCTCGTCTTTCCCGTCGGCCTTCATGGCGGTGATCGAAGGAGCGACCCTTGTGCAGCTCAATGCCCGGCTCAAACATCGAAAGCAATCACCGATCGCGTCGTAGCCATCCCTTCGAATACTTTCAGAAGTTCCGAATGCTCAGACAGGCTCAGAGAACGGAGGGCGCCGCTCGACTCGAAAGGCAGATCATGGGAAGCCACTAGGAAGCCGATGGCGGGTGCTGAAGCCAACAGCGGCCGTAACCGTTGCCGTAGAGAAATACAAAATTTGAAACGAAAACCGCTCTATAGTTTGTATTGTTCTGTAAAAATAAAAAAAATGTTACCTAAAAAAGTAGCTGCGACATTGTAAAATTGCAAAATAGGTAAAAAAATTGTACGCAACTGCGGAAAAGCGGTTTTGCTAAAACTAGACACTCACTTCGTTTCGCTCAAATGGCGCGAATCTGTGCGAAGTTTGCGTTTGCGAAACGTTGTTGAATAACGGGCTCTCTAGTGTGTGTGCTGGAAACAAAGCTCACCGAATGCACTAAAAATTGAAGTTAAAGCTAGCTAAATTAGTGCTCTACTGAACTGCCGATTTCTTCCTTACAACTTTAGTTCATTCTCATTGCTGTGATGGCAACTCCGAGGGAGCGGGCGCTGGTGGCGAAGTCGTTGGTGTTGATGTTACAGTCACTGCGAGGCCGACAGACTACGATTGAACTGCGCAACGAACTAAGCGTCTGGGGCACCGTTGAAAGTGTGGACGCGTAAGACCATCAGTATACTCCACGCGGGTCAAGCAGCGAAAACGCGAACGATTAATGAGAATTAATTGAACCTGCACTCGCACGAGGTAGCAACACAGATGCGAGGAACAGTGCCGAAAGCGCTGCCTTTCGCTTGTTATGTAGCGTAATCATGTGGCAGGTTCAAATGCGCACCGGCTTTTCTGAGTGGAAATGAATTGAAGCAGTTAATTATTCTTCGCCCGCTTCAGGGCCTCTGGTGAGAGTTCACACAGGCTATGTTGTCACTCAGTGTACAACATCCATGCACAGTTTTTTTTTTACGTGTATCTAGCAGTACGATGTGGTCGGCAGCTTGCGAAAAGTGTGTTCAGTGAGGCTTGCCAATACGACCGCATTTTCTTATTTTGTGGAAACTGGTGAACCGGAAGCGTTAAAAAAATGGTGTTCCTGGGCAGCGACGTTTGAAGTCCGAAGGCTGTGAAATGCGACGAAAGGAAAAAAAAAAAAAAAAGTCGAATTGCGCTAGTCCCGTAAAAGTCGAATTGCGCTAGTCCCGTTTGCATATATCATACAAATACATTTGCAGCAAATAATATGAAATACAAAGTGGTGAATTATCAGCAGAATTCCAAGCAGACTTGCACAGTGACTCAAGTGTTGCTCAAGGGCCTAAGTAACGTGGAAAAGTTCACGGAAATATGGTAGCTTTAAGCGATAAAATATCCTTGGAACACGAGGCATTGCTACAGCCAACATTTCGACTAGTGAAGTCTTTTTCAAGGCTGCACCTGTGTGCATTAGCTAACTAATAAATATGACATGAATTGAAATTAATTTAAAATCACGTAATCCTACTGACAGGTTGGATTTTCAGCCACCTTAATTCACTTCAATTTGCACCATGATTACCACAGTACAGTTAAAGGCAGCAAATAATTTCCTTGGCATGTTTGTCGGACTCATTTCATTGTGTCTAACAAAAAAAATCTGCCACTCAAAAAAATTCCCCTTTTTTTGCTCAAAGGCCTAGACATTACTTACATATGCAGAGATTTTGAAAGTGCCTCAGGGTTTATGAAATGTGCCATTCAGTACCTTTTTGAAATAGCTGCTTTCACAAGTCCATTGTCAACTCGGTGCAGGTTCATGAATGTGGACCTGAGCGATGCGACTGTGGTCGGCCCCAGCGGTGAGAAGAACTATGCAAGCTTTTTTGTACAGGGACGCCAAGTACGCTACATCCACATACCAGATGACATAGACATGGCAGCTTCACTCCAGTTGCAGGACACGCGGGCACAACAGGATCAAGAAAAACCCGTATCTCTAATTGTCATGCGGACACGACTACTGCGAGAGAAGATTCGGCGCCAAAAGCAGGACAGGCTTCTGCGGAGCACCGAGTCCTCCAAGGGACCTCGCTAGAATGCCCAACAAACTCTGCCTGTTGACTTTTGCCCGATTCGTTCGAAGAATAGTATTCCTCTTTAACTTTCTTGGGTGTTTCGGACTGCTGTGTGCCTACAAATCAAATGTCAGAAATCGAAACTGCTGAATAAAAAGCTTTGATGTGTTTACTTCATTCATTCAGTGATGTTCTACTTGAATAGGTATACATCAGTTCCTCTCAATAATGTGTTAAAACGGAGTGTTTTCATTCAGAAGTACAGAGCAATGTGCAAGTTCGTAATTCGCTGTGAATACGATTTGCGTGAAAAAACAGGGACTATATTGAAAGAAAGTGCGAAACAAGCACAGAATATCTACTCCGTCACATTTCAATTCACACTTCGTGCTTGTTTCCTGTTTTTTTATTTCATTGATGTTCCTGGTTTCTTGCACAATTGCTCTTCAGAATGATGAAAAACATTGACAATCTTTTTAAACTACGTTTATTAGGAACCAAATGTATCACATGTCATTACATTGATGCCACATCAGCATGCACTGGTACACTCCTTTAGACATGTTGCAAGAGAACGTACTTTTTTTGCAAAATTCAACATCTGAAATTGTTCTGAGAGCAGCCATATCTTTGTTACGAGTGTTGGATTGGCACATAAAGAGAGTCGTATTCACCCATACTGTACCACACAAATATAGGCAGTTTTTATCTTTTGTTTATATGAGCAATAGGATCCCATATTTTATTTTCAATGCAAGTGCAATAGGCAATGCTTGTCCGTTACATTTTGGAACAAACTTATTCCTAGCTATTGCGGTAGTTAGCTCCAGACATCTTGCGAGAATAGCAATGGCTAAGACTAAGAAACGGTCGGTAATGCAATGGTTTTTCAGAGATGTTTTATAATCATGTGGCAGTAATCTGATCATTCGTGAACAGTATTTGACTACGGTAGGTAGATTAGTTGCCTTGCCCAAATGTTAAATCTGCTCAGAGAGCAGGCTGTATTTACAAAGAATATTTATGAATAATTTAATGCAGTACCAAGGTGGTCAGAATTACACTTGCCCAATGAGTCAAGGTAGCTGAATCCTTCCGTTTTGATGGTCTGAGAAATGAACCTGAAAGGGGCAACATGTAGCAAAAGAAGATTGGGCTGCATCAGTTAACATTACACTCGTAGCACATGAACTAGTCACTCTCATTCTTCCTCTCGGAGAAGACTATAAGCAAGGTTGGCTTTAGCTGATGTTTATTGGCTGCATTTGTGCTTAGTTTCTTTAGAGCAGGAATCTGCAACGTTTTCAGGTGGAAGGCGAAGATAGATGGAGACACAGTGAGGGCTGCGCGGCAAATTGAAAGAGCAGAAGCGGTGCCTTTGCAGGCGAAAAAGAATTGGCTAATTTACAATAATCTACAAAACTGGAATAGAAAATTGTTTTTTTTTTCATACACCTTACAAGGTATCTATATACAAACATAGGTTATAAGTGCACACACATAAAAAACACTTTCAATGAGACTTCAGTGATGCCTTGCAAATACTGTAAAATCTTGAGTAAGCGCCACCCCCTACAGTAAAGAAAGATTTGAAAAAAATCAGAGGGGAGGCCCTTGCTCGGTCACAGATCAAAATTAATTATGGCGGAAGAAGAGTTGCTAAGAATAAAGAATGAACACCCACACCCTAATTCGTTTGACTCTAGTAAACGAAAAAAATTGGATGACTTGGACTCGCCCACTAGACTGAGCAAGCATATGCATTACTTCAAAATACCAAACTCTCATCAGTGAGGACGTATTTGGCCAAACTCGGCTTGTTTTAAAAATCTTGTTTTTTAAAAAAAAAAGCTTGTTTTAAGAATCTTTATTAGCAACGTACAGCACATTTTGTAAAGTAATTGCTGTTGGTATATATTTTCAGCAATAAGTTATCATTAAGTCATAGCATTTGCGTCCTCGACAGTCGGCACTGATGTACCCCTCCAGAAGAGAAATTAAAGTGCTGCATGTCGTACTAAAATTAAAAGCAGTTCTCCAATTTTCGCTGCTTAAAAGCAAACCTCTTGAATCTCAAAGCAAAATTTCGGGTCTCCTCAAAAAAGCCTCCGTACCGTTGCTTATCTGCCATGCCCACCGACGCACACAGTCTGTGCAAATTCTGTGCCATGTTTGCCAGCCGCGCCAGCCAAGTACAAGCGACAAAAGGCCCGCGCTTCTACTGGTGGTGCCACAGCTAGCCAACTTCTCGTGTTGTGACACCAGAGTTTGAGCCTCCTTGCAAAGTCTGGGACAGGCTGTGGTTCGACTCTACTGTGTCTATGCCAAGGAAAGAAAGACCTAGTATCAGCCAAGAAGGCCATAGTAAGTACCTAAGATTTAATAGCTTCGCTGTTTCTTAAAGGGGGACTAAAGCGAAACAATGAATTAACTTAGTTTGATAACTTGCGTTTGCTCACTTGACAAATGTCGTCTTGTAATACGAGTAATGTTATCGGCATAAAATTTTAACTTACTAGTTGTGGGGAAGCACACGTGCCCATGCTTCCTTTCCTTTTTGCTTCAGCGTAGTTGCGAGGACACGTCGGTCCTGTCGAGATAAGAGACAACGAAGCCTCTTTTGAAGGGCCATTCACCCCGCGATGAGCGTGTGCTATCCCCTCCTCACTCGTTTCGCGAAAACGAGTTACTCTCCCTCGGCGAGAGAAAGCAACCCTCGTTAGGGAAAGGGAAACCGGGAGGTTGGAGAAAACGAGCGTGCCAACAGGGAGACGCTCTCTCTGGCACCAGCCACCAGACAGGGACGACGAACTCCGGATTTCCCTGCGAGCCAAAGCGATCGACAACCAAAGGTGTAAGCCTACCCTTTGTTCCCTTCGTAGAGCAGACCTAGCATGTTGCCTTATTTCCCCGAATCCATCGTAGCTATTATGACTCGAGGTATGGGAAGGGGATGTTAATTGTGCACGGTACGACTGTGAACGGCTAGAACATTAGCTAGGCTTCTGCACCAGTCGTGAGTGAGTAGGGTTTGTACTTAATAGTACAAAAAACATTATTTTTCGCTTAAGTATTCCTTTAGCTTTATGCAACTAGTGTAAACTCCATTTTTTGCCACACATCAGTAAAGAAATTGCTGAAGCCCATTCATAAGTTCTACTATTTGTTCTAGTGAGCAAAAGTGCCTTGCTAAAACTGAACCAGTTTAGTTAAAATTCATTTTAATACTCAGTGATTGGCAAATGTCCTATGCTGGCACGCCTCACTTCGCAAACTGTTGTTTCAAAGGAAGTGATCGCAGAAAAAAAATCCAGCAGTCATTTGTTTCAAGCATTAAGGCGAAAAAGCTGTTGCCTAAAAGTTGACCCAAATGTTGGCACAAAAAAAGGCCAAGAATCAAGTGGACACGACCGGTGTTCTAATGCTTAGCACCTTGGAGTGAAGCCGCTGTCACTACTGGAAGTACTTTGGTCCATCAAAGGGGACAAAGTGCCAGGGAGAAAGAATTTGAAGCGAGGGAAAGATAACACAGTGTTAACTCTCGTTAATGAAATTACTCTATCTTTAAAAGACCTCTAGTTCAACGCCTTCTCTCTGCCCACCCTCTGAAAAATGTTACACTTTCTACACACTCATACGTGTATCCATACAAACATGCATGAGCATAATTAAAGCGTGGGTTCGAAATGACCCCACCACAAAAATCTAGGAGCTTATTTTTTGGCATGAGACCTAGTATAGCTAAACAAAAGGCTAACGTGTGAGTGCTGCTTCCAAACGATCGACTTTTTGCAACTAACCTGGAGCTTTGTTTTTGCCCATTAATGTGTAAATCATAATCATATCGTGATTATAACATAAAACCCTAGAAGTTATCATTATCAATTGTGTCACACACAAAGCCCGATTTCAGATAGAATTGGGAGATGATTATTCCAACTAAAAGTTTTGAAGAAACCCGACATCTCGAAACAGACTTGGTTCCTTTTTCGGGGGGTGACTGCGGAGACTACGTAGCAGCGGCGTCTTCAAAGCACTCACGGGGCGGATAACGACCCCCCTCTCCCTTGTTTTGCCGTGGAGCGCAGTCCATGTGTATACAGTGGGGGAAGGGTTCCGAGAGCAGTTGATGTTATGGGCTGTCCTCTGTATGTGCCACGACTCGAGTAATAACCTTCTCCTCCAGTTCAACTCGCTTTCAAGGATGGCTGTCGCTTCGAAATTTACCCGGTGATCCAACGTCTCAGCATGTTCGGCAACTGCGCTACGCTCTCTGTAGAGCTTCCACACATCTTTGTGCGGAAGCTCTACAAAGAGAGCAGCGCAAATGAGCAAAGCTGAGTGCATATCATTTATGATGTCCAACGTGCCCAGCCATTCTCCGTCCTTCCAAAAGAGGACAAAGCGTGACTGCATATGTACGGTTGAGCTACCACAGAAACAGCATAAACATATTACACACCAAAGAGCAACAATACTGTATAATCCAGTGCTGCCAAGCCAGTTTTGAGTGAACTGGACTGCCATGCAAACCCACGGTCATGCTGCAGATGATCTTCCCTCCGACAGATGCCGATTTCCAACCTGGGTCACAACACTCTGCCGAAATGATTTTTTGTGTAACAACATTGGTGACCTTCCCTTGCTGTGGAAGTGTTTTCTAACGTTCGACATGGCTCCAGTGATGTTTAGTGTCATTAGGAAACTTATAGCTGTTTAATGTGATGTCGTTAAATAACGAGCTGGGTGTTTTGTATCTGTCTAAAACCAATCGCTTTGTCTGCCACAGTGTGAGTACTTTAAAAGAGTGCTCTTGTTCTGTTGGCACTATAGTCTTCTTTCGGTTTCACCTTCCCTTATTAGCAGTGCTTTTACTCTCAGTATACTCGAGCTGCAAGGCCCGGAAAGCGAAATGAGCACGGAATATAAGTATTCCGTGCGACATAAGGAGATGCATTTGGATGCAGCCAGTGATGTTCTGTGCAGGTAATTTTTCCTCTTATGGATAATTTCCACCGGTAATTTTGAGCCAGAGGAAAAAAGGGAATCCTTGTGATGCTGCAGTGAATTTCAGGAATGCTTAAATATCCTATGACGGCCGATAAGTAACGGTCACAGTGCGCCTTCATCCTCTGTAATCGGTTTTGGCGCATGCACCCCGCAAGCATAGCCCTTGAAATCTGTTAATGATAATTACGGGGAGCGATTTCTAGTTCACTAAAAGTGTTATACTTGATGCCCACAATGTGCGGTGTACTAACAGTATATGAATTAGTAAAGTCATGCTTTTGTTGCGTGGCAGTGGAGGAGTTAATCACGATTTCAAAAGTCGCCAGTACGTTTGACACGTGTAATTATAGACTCTGTGAGCGTGGATGGGGGCGGAAATCAGTACTGTTGTGCAGAAAAATATGCAGGGAATTTGGTCAACGTTTGCAGGAAAAAATCTCTGAAATAGAGAATTTTCATGTCTCTGAATGGGAATTCTTCAGCGTATTACGGAACATCACTGGATGCAGCAACAACTCAAGATCTGCAAGACGACACACAGTCAAGATGTAACATACACAAAAAATGAAATGTGGGATATGAAGAACACTGATGTATGGCATGTCAATGAGGAGTCTTGATTCGTTCATTTTCTAAAGTGTTTGTAAGTGATCACTTGTTCCCATTGGCTTGTTAATGTGCACCATTGTCTGAGCCCCATATGAGCAAGAAAATTTCTACGCTAGAAACGCCGTTACAAGCAGGAATGCTTTACTAATAAAAGAATGAAGCTATAGGTAAGACACGATTTGTGCCACCACTTCGACATTATGCGACAAGAACTCCAAATGCAGAGAAACCTCTGTACGGTGAACCACTACTACTCAAACTATGATAAAAAAAATGCGGGAAGTTACAGCTATATTTTACACATTGCTAAGATACAAAAGAATAAGCAGCGTACTGTTTCACTAACTACATATTGAAAATCAACAGAAAAACCTTGTAAACAGCAAGAAATACATTAACCTAGGCTAAAAAATAAACATTTTTTCAAGCAGCATCTCCCCTTCAACCATAGACAGTCAGTGACACGGCACGAATATTCAAACTCCGGAGACTCAAAATGCTTTGAAACCGAGCGCTCACTCCTCCCACAGATCTACAGGCACATCATCATACGTGTAAGGCTTCCATTGCTTCGGAGGTCTCGTAGCAGTCCCTGTTGTCTTTCTCGTTCCTAATGCTCTCTGGTGCAGATATGCTGAAGCACTCTGTACAGATGCTTCTTCCACACTGAAACGAGCGGCCACGGTTTTATTGCTGGGTTATTCTAAACCGTTTACGAATGCCTGTCAGTTGCCTTTTTTTTTTTTTCTTTCTAGTGGACCAGGGTTGAGTAGTGGTATTCACCCAATTTCTGAGGCCCATACTCGTTATGATGATTACAGCTTTTGGGTCACGACAGAAATTTTACACCAAGCTATAATAAATTCACTATTAAACAAAAACTACCCACGACAAAAAGAAGAAGCGACGTACAATAAAGCTAATTGTTTGTGCATCACTTAGACATCTCCTAAAGGAGCTCCTTTGTGGATTTTTGTTCATGTTCCTTTTAGCGAATGAATGAATGAATAAACTTCATTAAATGTTAGTTCGGACAAGGCGGGGGAAAAAGGGAATTAACCCGTCCCATCCCAGCCTCCGCTGATGATCTGGTGGTGCCTCAGGCGATGGGTCCGCTTAATGAAAAAAAAAATATTGTGCTATCAGAGGTTTTCATTGGCTGAATTGAAACACTAGGTGGTGTTCCTTCAGCTCATGTGATCATACAAAGCAGGTCTGGAGGGTTTACACAAACATAAAGCTTTCTTTATTTGCTTTAGGAAGGCTTGCCATAAATAGCTTGGTCTGCTTCCACAATGTTGAGTGCTTGTCGCACACTGGGCATGTCGATCATGCTGCCTTCGAACACAAATGCCCCCTGCAAGATGACATGATAGAAAACGTGTGCTATTTGAACATTCTGCATGTCACATTTGAACACTTTACTTAATTTTGTACAAGCTGTACTCGCACTGCTATCTCTTGATTACAAATATGCTTAGACCACTAATGAATGTAGCATGATTAGTAACTTATAGACAACACAATGCAGGGAGAAAAATAGAGAAAAAAAAAAGAAGGGGGGAGGGGACATTTTTGTAAAATGGATTTACATACCCCATCACAACAGCACAGTCAACTGTTACAGAATCGTTATACGGCAATGTCAGCAGAACATACGTACAGTTTTTTCACTTAAAAGAAAAATTCCATCTTTAGAGAGGCGACTAAAGAACAATGCCAATTAAGTATATACGAACAAACTAATGGGAAATTAATGAGCAGATGTTATCCACTGCATGCTTTAGCTCAGAAAATGTTGTCTGAACACAAATAGTGGTTCATTTTTCAGTAGGATCATCTGGAATGATATGCACATTCCTTCCAATGGATCTAAGATAAATGATGGCATTTTTTATATTTTGATACAGTCAAGTTGTGGTAGTACAACGACAGTAAATGGGTTTCACAGAAAAATTGCTTGCACCAAAATCTTGAAAGTCTAAGGTTGACCTCATTAATTTGACACTGCAAATTAAGAGAATTAGATTACTTGGGCACTTCCTCCCGAATGAGCAAGCCTACACGTTTCTTTTTTCAAAAGACTACTAAACTCTTGTAAATGTGGACAAATCTGGCCACACTCCTCTTGCTTGTTTGAAAGGTTTTGTTTTAAGAAACATGTTCCAAAAATTGGTTTAGGAACATATATTCATTAAGAAAATATAGGAAACCTTTCCAAGTAATTACTGCTGGTAGACATTTTCAACAAAAAAATTTCATTAGGCTACAGAAATTGTGTTTCAGAGAGTCCCATTAATGGTCCCCTTTAGACTAGATGTCCTGACAAGATTATTATCCTGCAAAAATAAAATTGCGCATGTCATACTAGAATTAAAAGCAGTTTGCCAATCTCAGTTTCTTTTCCTCATATCAGGAACATAGAGGCTCCTTTGGCACACTCAGAAGTTTCACCTTCTGCATGAAGCGAGCGCAAGCAGCTAGGTGATTCGGTGGTTCCTAACCTTTCCTTGTCGTTGGTGCTGGTGAAATTCCTCGACGAGGCGCCGTGCTCTGTCGAGTTGAGCAGGAGTTGGGGCAAAGGCCTCCTGGGTTGGTGCAATCTGCGACGGGTGGATAACCTGCTTGCCTGTAAACCCCATGGCCGCCCCCTCTGCACATTGCCGTCGCAGCAACTCTTCATCTGCATGCACACACACACACACTTAAGCAGTGTTTTACACAAGGCTGAAACAGTAGCTTGTCAGCAGAGTCTGGTGAACTGAACACTTGCATGTCACGCTGTGCCTTCCCCTTACTTATTGACGTCGTCACAGAAGCCAACCAATCAGTGAGCCTACGTATCTCTCCTCCTGCCTTCCACCTGACTGTCGGCAGCTCCATGGTCCAACCACTGCTACCAAGACTGGCCACGAGATTCAAATTTGTTCAGCTCCCAGAAAAATCTTACCAGGGACACTATATTCAGCCAATGTGTTAGTTTAAGACTGATGAATTATTCTCTGCAAATTATACAGTAAACTCTCATTAAGACGAACTCTGTTAAGACGAATTCTTGCTTAAGACTAACAACACAGGAGTGTTTGTTTGGTTGCCCATAATCTCAATGCAAAAAACAAAACAAAAAAAAATTGCTTAAGACGAATTACGTAACAGGCCTCTTCTGATAACAAGGTGTGAGAGCGGGCTACTTAGCTGCGATTCCATACCTGCATGGAATTTCACATAATTTAAAGAAGATTGATCAGAGGGCAGGGGTCTCAGTAGTATTTTCTGCGCCGAATAAGTTGTCGCAGTTATGTGCAAGAACTAATCCTGTAAGAAGGCCTCTTAAAGAGTGTAACACTAAGCACCGGAATGAATTTGTTCAATGTGTGAAGAATGCAGTATATGACGCACCTTCGAGCTGTGGTCTAAGTTACGTCGGACAAACAGGCAGATGCCTCAATGTGAGATGACTTGAACCTTGAACATAACCAGAAAGTGAAAAAGGGATCTGATCATTTCCTGGCGACTCATTGCGCAGAGCAAGTGCAAGCCAATGTATGATAAAACAACTGTGTTGGCTGCTCACTCCAACGATAATGTAAGGCTCGTAATTGAGGTGGTGGCGATAGCAAATCGAAGCTGCGTCAGCAAGCCATCCATACATAGTAATAAAAAAAAACAACTACGTATATTACTTGAATTCACTGGCATGTGGTGTTTCCATGCAAATTGACTGCTATTTGGATTTTATTTTTATTTTTGTTCATTCATTGATTTGATTGTGATGTCATGTGACAGGTATATATTCTTGGTGGTTTGCAATAAAATTTTAATGGAAATTAGTGCTTGTCCTCGTTGTTCTCTTAGTTCGTTGTTGCCCTTTTTTGCGCTTCAGCTGTTTAAGACTCTTCTGATAAGACTACCTCTCGCAGCGACCAACAACAACGGGAATTCTGTGCAAAGAACATTACAGTTTTGATGAGGACATTTAGGTGAACAAAAGAAAGCAAACTGAAAAAAAAAAAACCTTCCAGGCCCAAAAACTCGAAGCAAATCGAAAGCAGGTTGGGACATGGAGGGAGAAAGCGAGATAAGTGGAAGAGAAAGGTCAACAGATAAAGCCGGTGCTTCCCTAAGCCCTAGCCAGCAGGTGGAGAAAGGGCCGGCATTATCAGTGAACAAAGCAACAAAAAGCATTCGTCCTTTCGTATTCTCCTCACGTTCTTTAGTTCGCCAACAGGAGTACAGTAGAGAACAAAAGAACACAAGAGCTTGGCTAGAGAGGAAAATGCAAGGGAAGGGGTGCCAAGAAAAGCCAAATGAAAGTGAAAATGGGAATGAAGATTGTCTCTGCATTGTAATCACATGAAACGAAAACCACATATGCAGCACTAGCACTCCCATCAGACGGGCAGTAACACAATGGCATCCGACTATGTGCTGTGGTAAGCTTGTGTTGTTTTGCACGGGGCCTGTGCATGTCGTATGTGTTCCCAGTGACATACAGTTAATTTTGATGCTCCATTTTTTATTATGAAAGTGCACAACAAAGGAAGGTCATTTTGCTTACAAAATGTAGCTGCACCGTGCCTTTTGTGTGTGCCCGAGGCTTGTGATTGTGAAAAGTGTCAACAGAGATTTTCAGCTGCGTGTCGTTCAGGAAAAGTTACTGCTGAAAATATGAAAATATCCGAAGTTCAAAGGAAAGCTCACAGACTTTTATAAGCAACTTGGTGTATACTGGCTTTGTCAAGGTAGCGGTACGCAATGCAGGCATATTCAAAAGTGATATCAAAGCCAGGCTCTCAGAAAGTGAACAGCCACAAGAATAAATTTTCCATTCTTTGAAGGAACATTGTGCTTGTCTCTCCCTTTTTAGCTTTTTTCTGATCGTCAAAATAGGGTCGTGCTACAGTTCTATTGACAAAATGTGATAGAAATTCATTCAGCAAAATATTTATTACAAGCTCACCAAATCGAGCACTCATTAAATTAGTCTAAATACACTACTTGAAAACAGAGTTTTTATCAAGCTGAGCCAAATAAATGCTTCTTCTCATTCCTTTCCTCCCAGTTATAACTATACATCATTCAGTTTTTCAAGCAACATATTTGGGTTTGCTTGGCATGTCAGAATTTGCTTTTTGGGGACACTTCTGTTAAGACGAACAAATGATTGTGGTCCCCTCTAGTTAGTCTTGAAGAGAAGTCTACTGTAGTGTCGCTATTTTCGCCACCACAGGTTTATGAACAGTTATCAATGTCAAAAGTATCTCTTTTAAATTTCGTGCTCAAATCTCTGATAGCGACATCACGGATTTCGAAGGGTTTTTTTAGCATTTTGGCCACACTGGGTAAATGAAGCTTCCTGAAACTTGGTACGCTAAATCCCTGGCTCCCTCAAAAAAAAAAGTAATTGATTTTTATTGATTAGCAACAGACTTGCATATGCTATAGAAAATTAGTAGGTGATTCAAAAGTTTATTTCACCAGAAAGTTCTGCTACATTCTGTTATGTTGCTACACTGAGATAAATTACAAAAAGAATTTGGCGGTGCTACTCTCATACGCATACAATAAAACACCTCAAAGCTGCAAAACATGGCAGCTGTCCCGATTCACACCTACAGAAGGCACCTTACCCACTTACTTTTCAAGTCTATTGTGACCATGTCAACAGCCTGGAGACCGTATGCCTTCGCCAACACCACCAGCTGCTGACGCGCCATCAGCACTTCCGTAGCTTCCGGTGTGCGACGAGCCCCTGCACGTAGGCGTACGCTTTTGATTTGAGACACAGAGTGACTTACCCCTACCTTAAAGCCATGTTACTTAGACACGACCTCTTCACTAAGTGGCAATATTCATGGCCCATCATTTCAATTGTGTATACCGTAAGTTCCAGTGAACAAGCTATAGTGACGTACTGTTGCTGCAGGCCACTTTTGAACTGTACAACGGTGCAACTGCGTCCATTTGTTCTAAGCACTGCTCTTTCAAGACCCCAGAACAGCTAACGGCGTGGGCTTTTCACATGCGATATCACATGCTACCCAAACCTCTAACTTGTCACAAGACTTGCTTTAAATCTGCATTAACAAGCACCTACCTATACTGGCCGTGAAGTCGTCCGAACCAAACAACAGGCCAGCCATCTGCAGGCGGCCGTGAGTCATGGAAGAGGCATGCTGGAGCAGCTGGTGGCAGTTTAGCAGGCCCAGTGCTGTCTCGATGCACACGATGAGCTCGAGTCGATGCTGCCGCTCGCCTAGAGCCCGTTCCACCTGGTCCCTCACCTGGCATGAGGTGAGGACAGTTGAGCCTCCGAGCACAATGTGGCTCCGATTCTAGCCCCCTGTGCCTGAAGTCATAGGCATGTGCGAATTATCAGATAGCTCACAGGCCAGACAGAAGCTGGGGCATCATTACCCACACCCCCAACCCCTGCTTTTCAAATGAGGCATTCTATTACAGACTTCCTCTTTGTAGAGAGCTTAGCTACAAAGCTGCCATGCATTCTTAGGTCAAGTTACTTTAAAGATTACAAAACCACAGATGAATAAAAATGAGAGCCTTTTAATTATAAAAAAAGAAAGGAGAAAATGATATTATAGTTGTCAATGAACACAACCTTGCTAACAAAACACTGATTTTTGCCGATTTATGTCATCCTGTATTTTTAAAACAATAGTAAAATGTTACTTTCCTATTGCTAACTCTTTGTCTGACTTGAAAACTGTAAAAATATATCATTGTGCAAAGACAGACAACATTAGCTAGCATATGAGCCAGAAACCTATAATGTTGAAAAATGACACTCATATTTGAAAAAAATCTTTCCTTACAGCTCTTCATTTACAAAAATGCAGTGCATTCAAATTCATGGAAGCGATACATCGGCCTGACTGGTTGAAAGTATTTAGTGCCACAGTTCATTGTTGTTTTTTTCAGGCTCATTCATGCCAGCAACTCGCAGCATATGTGTGACAGAGTTGGTCACGAAACAACCAGTCACAAGAAGATGTCAATGATCACTTTTGTCATAAGGTGACTGTTCCAGACCCTCAGTGCTTGCTTTCTCAGCTGTTTCAAAACTTGCGAATCAATCAGACGTGAGAATCACAAAGTCACAAGATGGTCATGCCGTGATCAAACAGCCGTGGCCCATCTGTGTCTGGTGATAGGCATGTTGCGCTAGCTATTGTGGATGTCAGTTGCCGTAAGTCACTTCTCGATCAGCAGTCACGATCAGTCATGCGACCTCTGCCGACCACTAGCGTGAATGAACCTTTACAGTTTAAAATGCCTGGCCTTGATGCCGCCTTAATGCTAATGGCTTACCCAGTCTAGTTGCTTGATCTCTTCCACTTTAGGCACCAACATCGTGTTGGGTAGATGAGAAGCGCCCAGGAGGCATCGAATGTCATCCTCTGCAAGGCCCGTGCTTACAGCATTGATGCGCACCGCCAGGTCTCTGCATCCCTGTGGCCTCTCCCCTTTGTCCAGCACACGAGCCACTGTCTCACGTGCTTCTTTCTGAAATGGGACATCGTCAGCTGGTTGTAATCAGCCTACAACTGCAGAGAAAAAGTGACACCGATTGGTGCCCGGACAACTTGTTATGCTAAAGAATGCCAGGACGTGTAAACATTGTCAACTTGGCTATCATTCTGCTGTTAAAGGTAGTCAAAATAGCATTTTACTGTAACAGAAACATAACTATTATTAAGGAATGACAGACACTTCAAGCCTACATGCTCATGCAACGATTTGTTTTCATTAGCATAACAAGACATCTAAAGTCCTTGTAGAACAGGGCTTTAAGCAGGTCTCTTTTTTTTTAGGTTGCTGTACTGACAATAACGATAATTTTTCGCGAGCGTAAGCATTTCATTTTCTTGGTGCACTCATCAAGTGCACTTCCCTCTGGTTCATTATGTCAACCTTACTCTCATTGATCTTGTAGTAGTGCCGAGCTTGCTGGAGACAAACACCTGAAATGTACGCATACGACACATATGTATATCCTTTCAATGCAGTCATCGTAAGGATGGAGTCCACACCTTCTTATTGGCTGCCACGCCATCCTCACAGTCCAGCACCATGCAGTCAGCATCTAGGCCGAACGCCTTCGTTATCTTTCTCTCATCGCTGCCTGGCACATAGAGGACGGCACGACGGGGCGTGTAATGCCGCAGCGTTAGACTACCACATGGAACTCGAGACTTCTGCAGAAGCTTGCGAAGACCACTTGCCCTGCATGATTAAAGAAAAGAAACAACGATGACGAACCGACGACAGGATCGTATGATGCAACACGAGACACCGGGACCACCAAAGTTAAAGCTAGCTTTCAACAGCTGACTGCAGAAGCTTACTAAGACCATGCGTTTTGTATGGTTAAAAAAAAAAAGAAACGATGTGAAACGGATGATGCGAACATGATATGCTACAAGAAACAATGTGAAACGCACATTAAGTTCAAGCTTGCTTTCAAGGAACAGCTTACATGAGACTTTTGTTCGTGAAATCCCGACTTAATACACATGCACGAATGGGTGTGAATGAGCGCATTCAGGTATTTTTTCTGAAAGCACCTTGTGTTCTCCGCTGAGTACGAACGATACCCAAGACTGAAACCATCGAGCACGTTGTTTTCGTTTTTTAGTTGGCGCGTCAGGAAAAGCTCGCTTCAAGGTCACTGTCGACCAGCCATTAAGCCGTTCTGCTTGGGTATGTGCGTGGCGCTCACTGCTGCAGACAGCTGCCCGTTGTTGTTGTTGTTCTCCTATTGTTAGTGGCGCATACCCACTGTGGGGGATTGGCCAAGAATCGAGTGGCTTTAAAATTTACTGTTCAGATTTAGAATGATGGAGGTATAACAGAAAGATTACGGATAGGCTATAGGCAAGTGTGGTGCTTAATGTAATGCATACAAATATTTACATAAACAAATTTATTCTTAGTATAGACCAATAATCTGATTTTATACGCATATAATTATGTGGACATGTTAAGATAATGAAACTGGTTAATTAGTCAACCTATTAGTTTCATCGATATAGTCCCGGACGGCCGCGCATACTGTGCCATTAGAGAAACCAGAAATGGAAGCTCCAAAAGACAAAATGACAGGCAGAGATAAGTCCATACCAATGCCACGCAAAGGTATTTCTAATAGGGTTTTTCGTAATGTGTTAAACCGCCTGCAGGTCAAAAAGAAATAGTCTATTGTTTCCAGTTCATCACAGAATGCGCACAGTGGCGAAGGTACCTGAGCAGACCTGTGTTTATAGAAATTTAGATTTGGTACCCGGCAACGCAGCCTTGTGATAGCTACTTCTTGTTTTCGAGTGCGGCAAAAGTCTCTTCGCCAGGGATATAATAAATGGCGATATTCTGTAGAGTTTGTTAGTGCTGAACCTTTAAAGACTTGCATAAGCGTACGTCTGCGGAATCGAGCAGCAGTCACATAAGCGGATGATGGACAGAGCGGTAGAATTGGTTCGCTGATTGACGACTTAGCTAAGGAATCGGCTATTTCATTCAGAAACAAACCTTTATGTCCAGGCACCCAAACTAATCGCACTTTTCTCAAATGCACAGGTACTAGTGCACGAAACGCCCTTGTTACGTGATTATTAGCACCAACAGAAAGTGCTGCACAGAGAGATAGGGAATCTGTTATTATGACAGCTGATGTAATTGCTGTATCTAACATGCGTAAGGCGAGCACTACTGCCAGAAACTCAGCCACAAAAACGGGTATGAAATCGGGTAGTCGAAGGGAATAAATCCAATTTAAAATCGGGCTGAAAATACCAACCCCTGACTTTTCGTCGTATTGCGATGCGTCTGTAGCAATAATAACGTTCGTTGTAATACGGCGCAGGTGATCTTGTAGTAAATCCGTGATCACACTACGAAGCAAAACTAAATGAAGCTTCACTTGTCGTAGGATTACCTCCGTAGCGTAGCCCAGGTGGTCAAGGATGACGACATGTGGCTTGTACTGACGATCCTTGCTTTCACAAGCGCGTAAGGTGTGAACGAATCCACGAAAATTGCTATCTATTATGACAAAAGTCGGGATAGCGTAATCATAAACGAAGCTGCTACAACCGCCGGCCTGTTACAGCAACCTGTGACCAGCCGACATGCCAGCCAACACAACAGCCGAAGCACGTTAAAATTGCATATGAGACAGACACAAATATATTGTAAACATTTATAACGTCAAAAAAAAACGAATTATTATTTTGTAAGTTTTTAGGCGTCTTTTGTTAAGTAGGTCGCTGTCCACTACACAACAATCACAACGTACTTGAAATGGCGGGTAGTTCGATTTTTACTAAAGAGCGACTCGCACGAAACGCAAAGTTACAAGGTATCCTGCTCGTAACGATGAGATAACTGTAGGCTAGATGGGTCGATTCGAGCCGCCGCGTCATATGTGTATGCTTTCATGTTTCAACCGATCAACCGCGTTTCAGTTGAGTTCGGCACCGCAATGGATGGCGCACCTCACACACGTACGCCTCCCACCCCTGCCCCACCCTAACTGCCGGAGGCTTCGTGTCTACCACTCCCCTTACTGCGTCATTCTTTAAAACAATGTTTTGAGAAGTACTGAAGCCTAATGCGCTTTTAAAGTGTCACGCGTGGCAACACACACACACACTGCATGCGTAATTGCATGCGCAAAAAGCTGACGTTTCTGCGCCGCTTTCAGCTATCGCGGTGCGAGATTTTCGGCACGCTCCAGAAAGCACGCGTACTTCGCACAATGGGGGATGTATATAACGCGAGAAATGATGGTGATAAGCGAAATAACGCCTTCCATTCCACTCCGCTGGTAGCTAAACAGCAGCTTGTCTGGGGATTTCTTCGGCTCTCTCTGAAGGACAGTAGCGAGTACATTTGAAGGTTTCTTGTGGAGCCATTGGCGCGCTTTAAAAAAGAGCTGCAACAGGCTTCCCGTGTCTAATCTCCAAGGGCAGGTATGAAGAAAGCCGTTAAAACGTGCAAATATGGAAGGGGGAACTGTTTCTATTTCGACGTTTTAGTGGTTTTCTTCGGGTGCTAGCATTATTCCGTAAGGGCAAGTCTGAATCGCGATAATAAAGAAAAGAGCACTTGTTCGCTATATGTGTGGGCTAAACATACACCAGGAAAACGTTCGACGACGGCATAAACGTAAACGACATCGATCTTTATTTTGCTCTTGGAGAATGCGTGCCGAGACGGCAGGCTAAAGTAACGGCGGCGCTCAATTGAGGAGCTGCTCGTCCAGAGCGAGGTTGGCGAGTCCCGGCTCCTCGTCGTCAGGTCCCAGCAGGCGCAGCAGTAGTCCTAGCTCGGCCACGCCCGTGCTTGGTGGAGTCGTTGGCGACGACACCGACGGTGCCCCAGAATACCTGCCGACACAGCGTGCATGCGTGTATGTATGTACGCCGAAGAGGTGCATCGCGTGCGCGCAACTCGCGAGTGTGGGCTCTTCGGGGAACTGACAGATGTTAGCGCGCGCCCCTACAGTCGATCAACAGAAAACGCAGAATGGGGCATGGGAACGGGGCAATGTAATCTAGAAACGTTGGGTGGGGGTAAAGGGGGATCCACAAGTGAGCCTAGCTTTATATATATCTTTACTCAGTCAGGCCTGCGCGCCATTGTTTGACGTGCAAGGCCATCGTGCAAGCTTTCGACCACAATGGCAGTTGAAGACCTCCGATGTCGCGAGTGCTGGAAGAAACGCCTGAAGCGAATCTCGGCGTAGAGTAAACAAAATGTAATCTACGCGAATCTCGGCGTAGAGTTACTAGAGTAAACGTTTGTCCTAAAAGCAAAGACACGCGAGCTGGTTTGGGTTTCGTGTAAGTTTCATCGCAGATAGACTGTTCGCTCGATGTGCGCTCGAACGTTGCGAGCGTTGGAGAGGGTGAAGCGAGAAAGATGACACGCGACGAGCGGCGAAAGACTAGGGAGAGAGTGACGTCACTGTGCTTGCACTGCGAGGGAAGGCGCGACCTGCTTGGCACCGCCCCAACACCTTCGGCCAGGGAAGCGCGGTGCGGACGGAGGGACAACGTTACACAGACTAGTCGAAAATCTGCTTCGCATCTAATATACTTCTTAGTGCGTAGAACGTTTCAGAAAGAAGTCAGATATGACAACGCGTAGTATATTTCTTTTAAAATTGAAATACCAACCAGCCCAAGTAGCCACTCTTAATTTTTTTTCTTGCCGCCTCTACTCCCCGGAAAGCGGAGAAACAAAGTCGTGAGCAGCACATACTTGATTTTTTTTTCGTATTTAGTTCGCTGCGGTGTATCAGTGGCTACGATGCTCTGCAGCTGACCCGAAAGTCGCATGTTCAATTTCGGCATCGGCGGTCGCATCTAGGTGGAGGCAAAATGATTGACGCCCGTGTACTGTGATGCCCGTGAGTTGCTCGTCAATGTACTCATTGACGAGCAACAGTCGAAACGAGATGTCGCGATCGAGGCGCTGCCGAGGAATATTTTAAGGATTCATTTTACGTGTGTCACTTATAAAGTAAAGGATATATCTTCAAGTAAAACCGCAGCCTGACATATGCTTTCGAGCTTGGTAGCAGGAACCAAATCAAGCAACAAATTACGTTATCTGTAATTCAGTGCAGTGGAAGGCCACGACAGTATACCTTACCGGCTGCGGCGTCACGTACTGAAACGACTGCGAGCGGCGCAGTGAACGAGTAAACACTTGCATGTTTGTGCCCAGAGCGGGCCGATTGCCGGCGGCCTCTCCGTTGTCGCCGACCACGAAGCTCCTCTCGGACAGCAGGAAGCCTCCCGGAGCCCATTCCCTGCAACAACCGGGTCAGGTGTATGCATGTAAAGGCAGCTTGTGTCTCGTTCACGAAGAGCATGCGCACTTGATGGTTCCTGGGCGCGGGCCTCCCGCTGGCGGAGTTGCAAACACGGCAAGCTGGCCATTCGGACGCTGTGCGCCACTTCGAAGCAGCACCGACACCTGCGTCAGACAGGCATGTGCTAAGCTTCATACACTATATACACATGTGATGTCAGATAGCCAGCTAAGCAAGCAAAGAAAAAAATGTGATTGACAATTCAAACTACGTATCACGATCCGGAAAAGACCGAATGAAAACGGCTAAACATGCACGCTTTTAATTTACAGAGATGGATGTCCATGCACTGATCAATGAAAAAAAAAGCGCTGACTCGCACATTACGGTTTGGCATCAGGTTCGGCACATCAGCAACGGTGTCCTAACGTGACCCGTTTCCTTCCTGGATCGCTGAAAAGCCGCAGGAATCGCCACAAACCTTATACCCAAACCACGAATGCTATACAGCTCATATGTTCACGGTAGGGAAAAACTGTGGGTCCGGGGAAACGAGAAAGTTGATAAACGCCAAGTTCGAATACATTCGTGCGTGCGCGTGTCCCGAAACCGGCCCCAACGACGCGATACGCACCCGAACACGCAGGTCCTGGTAGAAGCGGAGCAGGGAGTAGCGCGCCCTCTGCAGGCTAGCCAAGTCCAGGGGCTCAAGATGCTGCGCGGTGAAACGACACTTGTAAGCCTGACGATGACGTCTGTTGCAACCGGACGCCCAAGTTAGCCGTTCTACACATAAACACCCCCTGAAAGAAATTTCTGGGTACGGCCCTGGTGTCGACCCGCCACGCGTGTCACCATGCGAGCTTTAGCGAAATGACGTCTATATAGTAGTGCCTCGGGCAATGAAGATGGCGGTTCACGCGTGTTCTAATGATGTTAGGCTGAGCGGGCCATCATCGAGCGGCTAATTAAGTCGAGAAGGTACTCATGAGTTGTCATTTTCAGGCCTGGTCAAAGAAGCGCGACGATTTGATTGAACATTACACGTCAATGTGCATTCGTCGATAACATACGTATGCTGATATTATATGGTGTATGCACGAACTGATTGCGCGTATGAACTTATTATAACAGACTTTATAATAAGCCAGCTAGGTGGTGGCAAACTTAGTCCGTGCCTCTTCCCTCCCCCATTTTTCGACATTGCATGCAGACCCCAATATGACACTCGGCTCGACCACATCTGCCTGTCCGACCTCCTTTTCAGACGAAGGGGGTGCTCCGTCCCCCCTTCTGCCTGCACCCCTGTATACTGAACAGTTCTTCACACATACCACGTTGCTCCCTGCGAATACTAGGTTCATGCAGTTGCGCCCAAAAAACATGAAGCAATAACTGCCAGTATTGCTAACAAATCGATTGAAACAGACGAATTGCGATCAGCGCCACGCTGTCCGGTTCGGAGAACGATCGAATCAAAACGCGGCGGTGATGTAATTCGCGGCATAACACAAGCCACAACTCGCTGCACAGCGCACCTTCATCGCACGATGGTTTCGCAAATATGACGTCTTTGACTAAAGCCGCGGACATGAATGGCAGTTCAGCGTCGAGGGGCGTCATCATCCAATTATCGCCGACGAAGCGCGGTCGTCAGTGCGTGACGTGATGGACAACGCTGACCTTCTGGACGGCTGAAGCCGCGTGACTGGCTGGTCCGCCTGGTCCGGCCGCCTCGAGGTGCTTGAGTGTCAGAGGCAGCAGGTCGCGGGGACTGGAGCACGCCCACAGCTGGTACTTGACCACCATGCACATCAGGTCGTACAGCTGCACGAGAGGAACGCAAAGCCCCCGTCGACGTGAATGCCACGCATATGACAGTTGTTGTTATTGTCTTTGTTTCAGACTCGGATACATGGGCAAAAGGCAGATGTCATCTGCCTGACGGGACCCATGTACCCGAAAGCACCACTCAGAGCACGATCAAAGAAATACAATATAACACACTAATAATCCATCAAAACCTCGAAGTGCGACTAAGAGAATACGCGTCGCGATGCCTTAACTATAAATTATTCTCATTCCCTAATCGGATAGACGGAAACGCAGTAACCACGTACGATTTGTTGCCCATTGAAAGGTGCACAATATTATATATGCACTTTTTGCCGCAAACACGCTATACCGTCGCGTTACACTCAATAACGTCTGCTGACGGGCTGTATAGTTGGTGCACAGCTTGAACAGTAATCGTATAGGCGCAGAACGAAGACGATGGACGAAGAAGGGACACGGACAAGCGCGCACACGCAATTGACTTTTATTGAATCGATACTAAGCTTACGAAACCCCCACGCATGCGTACACTTACATAAACGACGCAACAAAAAATGCACCAGACCCATCACAATCTATCAGCTAAGAAATCAAACTCATTTTCAAACAGACAAAGATGATGCATTGGTCTTCAGTTTGCTTAATATACATCGCCTCCGCTAGTTCACGTGTCCCCTTATCTTTGCTTGGACGTAAAATGCACGAGCTGTTCATCAGAGGTTCGTGCAAGCGATCTTTGTAATGATGTGGCAGATGCGAACCTGAATCGTTTCTAAGTAACAGCGCATGCTTTCTTATTAATACAACGACCCGACATGCCGATATACACCTTGCCGCAACTTGTGGGAATCTTATGTACAACGGCTACATCATTGCAAAGGTTCCTCGTGTGAACCTCCGCTAAGAAGGGTTTGCGTTCAGCGCAAAAGACGTTATGGCATAGACTACACGAGCGCTGACAACTTATTACCTTATTCAAGCGAACTTGACAGATAAAGAAAAAGAAGAACAAAACGTGCGCGTACCACAACATATGCACATGACAAACGACTTGTGAAGTCTTCGGGCACGTCCATTCGCAATCAAGTAACGCAATCAACTATAACACGCGTGTTACCAATTTTGCAGATAGCGAATGCTTCCGCTATCGCTTTTATGCCAGAGTTTGCGTGTCTATAAACGGTGGTCGTGCAGATGAATTCTGAGGTATACAACCACAGGCGGTATACAGTGAACACTAGGCAGACACCTTTTAATAGGCGAAGAAGACGTATAACGTTACAAGTGTATACTCTTATGTGAATAGGTTCCGTGCGCATGTTTTGTTCTCCGTTCTTTTTGTTTCGCTTCAATAAAGCAATCAGTTGTTAGCCCTCGTGTTAAGACTTTTTGAGCATTTCGTCTTTTCACTGTTTTAATATGGACCAATAAAGTACTATCATATTATATGAGTATTTCTGCATGCATTGTTTAAACATTCTACCTTTCAACGTTAAACCGCTGCGTGCAATGCTTGTGGGATACGTTCGCTTCCATCACTCGGCGTGCTCATTGTCGAAAGCGTGATAACATCGGCGCGTTCCTTCCAACAAAAAACAGAGAAAAATAATGAGGACAGCTTGTGCTATAGTGATGCGAAGCTGTACTAACTACAGAACTTGGGACTGACTTATACTATAAGCTATGTCTTAATTAGCAAGGTCTTAACTAGCAACGTGCTCTCTCTCGCATTGCGATGGAGGCGAAATGGGAGAGGCATGCGTAATTTGCGGTGTTAGTGCGCGTTAATAAAGAACACCAGATGATCGAAACTTCCGGATCACTCCACTACGGCGTACGTCATAATCATATCGCAGTTTTGAAACGTGAAATATTATTATTAGACGTTGATATTATCATTAGTGTAAGAGACAAGCAACAGAAGGAGTGACCATGCGCACACTACGTGTGTATCCCGATCTCCCCTTTTTGCCCAACACTCTAAAAAAATATCGAGTAAGAAGGGTGTCTTTTTGTCCCACAACAATAATCGTCATCAGGCTTGCGCGCGTTTTCTTTCCTGAAAACACGGCGCTGGCCACTTTCCTATTGAGAATGCAATTTAACCCTGATAATGGGCATGTCGGTCGTGACCGGAATGTACCGGGCGCGGGGCGATAGCGCAAGGATGGAACGCAATATAGATGGCGATTATTGTTGTGGGACAAAATGACACCCTTTTTACTCGTTCTTTTTTTAGAGTGAACGATTAATAATGCCACAAGGCCCTCTGCATGCGCGATATGAACTTCTCTCTAATATTTAGTAGAAATGTGATCAGTGTTTAAACATTTCTTACAAGTGTCGTGAATCGCATGCTGCGTGTAGTGGTCTGTTATTGTCTTAAGATTTTTTTTTCTTTTCGTTGCTATCACTTGTGTAAATTGTTTTGCGATGCAAGCGTCTTGCACTGTACGTTTTTTTTTCTTCTTGCACTGTTAGTATTTTTGTGAATGCCTTGTCATTGCATTATTGTATTTGCCCCTCCTGCATGGGCCAGCATATTGGCCTGCAGTATGGATAAATAAATAAATAAATAAATAAATAAATAAATAAATAAATAAATAAATAAATAAATAAATAAATAAATAAATAAATAAATAAATAAATGTGGGTTAAACTACACGTCGGCATCACTCACCTTGTCCATGCTGGCGGGGCTAAGTCGCATGACAGACGTGTGCGTCAGCTTCTCGAAGAGCGATCGCAGCGCCCGAGCAGAGTAGAGCGGCTGAGGCCGAAACAGCTCGTCGACCAGCCGTCCTCCGAACATGGCCGCCACGATGTCGGACATCACTGCAGCGTCCGCGGTTGTTCATTGCTATACAGACTGAATGCGCAATCGATGCGATCACTGCCGTTTGGATTCGAGGTGACGTGACCTGCGCGTTCCAGTTAGTGTTGTACCATGGACACGACTTCCAAGGACAAGAGCGCAACGCCAGAGACCGTCTTCATGCGTGCCGTTCGAGTTGTTGGGCTCGTGTACACTTCAGGAAAAATTTACGCCTAGTGGAGCTTGTTTCGTCTCAAAAGAATAACTATTTGTTTTGCGAATACACTCTTGGCATTTCTTGTGCATTTTCGATGGTGGAGAAAATGTACGAGGCCCGTGTAGGTTTAGGTTAAGTTGGGAATCCCAAGTGGTCGAAATTACCGGAGCCCTTCACTATACGGCGTCTCTCATAATCATTTCATGGTATTGGGACGCTAAACCACATATATTATTGTTATTATTAGAATTTCTTGCCATGATGCACTATATACTGTATCTGTGCTATGTCGTAATGCGACACTTAGGCGCGAAAAATGATGATTGCGTATGGTTACTTGGGGGAAAAAAAGCCCATCTTGGAAAAAATGTCCGCGAACGTTGCCACTTGAAAGATGGCCCTTCCCGCATCTCTTGCACCCATCATTTATGAAAACCATTTAACGTCAGAATTCAAAAAACACCGATCAGCAACAGTGACTAATAGAGACTCAAGCATAGAGTAATCGGTCCATGGTTATAGGTTTCAACACAAGGTGACCGCATGAAATTTCACTTGAAATAAATAAGCAAATACAAAACCACACGTGTTTAGCTTAACCGAACAAAGCGCTAGTAATCACGACAGGCGAGAAAATATTTCGAGCACCGTTAAGCAATGTCACAAACAGCTAGTCATGAAAAAAGAAGACAGTCGCATGTTGGACGCTTTCGGAAGGTCGGCGGGCCGCGTTTTTGGGACCCCTCGGCTAATAGCTTACAAGCATGGCGCAGAGCCCGTTTGTGGCTTCTTTGCCTGGAGTAGTGATGCACGGCTCCCAAGAGCTTTCGTTCTGTCAAATCCGAATGACCAAGTCTACACAGGAAACGCTGCAGTCTGGTATATTGAAGTGGGAACAATGGCACGGATGATTGATGGTCTCCTCCCATGTACGCTTAGCGCGCACGAGTGTGAATAGGCAATTCCACTGCGATAGCTATGGGTACATAGGTGTCAAAAGGTCGGAGATCGATTTTCGGATGCGGGCTCCGAATTCGCACACGAGCTTTTCTCATTGCCCACTAGGATCGCAATGTGGGCTTGTTGATATCCCGTATTTAAAAAAAAAAAACCGTAGCGCGAGTAAAAGACAGGACAGAGGAAGACACCCGTGTAACACCGTAGGTGTCCTTCTGTCTCCTTTTGCCCTGTCTTTCGCTAGAACTAACTAAAAAAAACTATCAAACTAGGTGTCTGATCGCAGCTACAATTATATACATCTGAAAAAAAAAGGGGGGGGGGGGGTAAAATCGGGCTACGGGATGAACGGGTACCTTTAGGCCACAAATCACAGGCGTTTGTCAGCCCGACACTGAGCTATAGGGACAGCATACGTGGTCTCTTGTCCTCAAATTGCATCAAATCTACTTAGGCGTATATACAGGAGGCATCTGCTAAAAATACAAATGCAATTGGCGAATGGCAGCAAGTGCGCATATAGGTGTCGGCAGGAAGGGGCAAAAGGGACCCCCTCCTGCTTACCACGGCGATGCAGAACTGGTTTGCACCCCCCTCAAGACAAAATCCTGCCGACACCCATAGGCTCATCACACCTTCTGCACTGCAGGGCCGTAACAAAACAAAATTTTTATGCTTCAAATTTACACGCCTTCAAAGCAACCACCAGTTGCCAAAGTATCCTCTTCACCCTACCCCCACATGAAAAATATTCCTAGACACACCCTGACCTGCTGTGCCAGTGTCCACTGACAAATACTATAGTGGTAATACTGCAATACTCCTCAGACACTTCAGTCGTTCTTTATATAAATGTAGCAAGCACACAGGAGCCCACAATAAGACAGGGCGGTGGGCAAAACACAAAAAAACGCGAGAACCTGTGTTAAGGTACACATGACGATCGATGAAAATTATACGAGCCAGCTCTGGAACACGACTCTGAACCGTGGACTGAGTCACGACATATCTTTAACGATGTCTTGAAATTTGAAAAGTGAAGGGTATATATCGTAATATTTTCCTATAAGTTTAGAGGCTACGTTGTTTAGCGTGAGTAAATACTATTCACGAAATTGGGTGTCAGCATTGGTACCATGTAAGGGTAAGGGGACCCGAATTTTTTTTTTTCAACGACTACGAAGCTGCATTTGGGTTGTGCATGAAGAACAGCTGAATATCTACCCTTAGGATTGAAACCATCGATCACCGTGGTGCATATTAATTCACTCGTAATAACTCCTAGGTTTGCACTTCAAAAAACGCTTTTGACGAAGCCAGCCACTGTCACAGAAAAAAAGTTTCTGCGGTATCACTACAGTTTTAAGTCTATGCCAGCATCAACCTCTGTCGTGCATGAAACTGTAATAGGCGAGTAACAAAGAGATAAGAGGGAAGTGGGACACGTGATCCGTGGATACAGTTACATTTAAAGTCACTTAAATGTGACAACAATCACCCCAGAACTTAACTCTTTTCTTAGTGTGGATGTCATATAAAAAGCAGGAAGGGAACCAACTAAGCAGATAAGCAGCGCATGAGTATGCCTACAAAATAACCGTGCAGCAATTAGAGGAACAGTCAGAAACATATATAAGTGGTTTTACTGTGCATTTCTTTTTGCAAACAGGAAAACGCGGCCCAAACAAATCCGAGCTCGAAATATGCAACATCCCTTTCACGCGACCACTGTTCAATTCTGCAAGTCGCATCAGCGTCCTTACTGACCACAACCACACGAACGCATCGCTTTGTTCGTGCACAGAAGCAACGGCAATGGATAAATGCTAGCCGTTCACGAAGGTTCCAAAGCACAAGTAAACTCCATAGTTTGTACAGTCGCTTATCAGCGGGTCAATCGAAGACTCATTACCCTGATTCGTTCCATTGTCGCTAAGTCTGATTACTCCACTAATTGTCTACGGCAGACTGCGTCGGCGAGAGTAGCCGGGTTTTGTGCAACGAGGCTGCGGAACAGCGACCGCACGAGCGATATGTGAAGTCCCTGTCCAGCAGTGGCGGGCCGTTGCGGTCTGTTTGGGGGGCGCTGCATGGGAAACACGCGACGGAGCGTGCGCTCAGCGAGCCGAACCGCGTCGAGCCACCGCCGGGAAAGCGGCACGTACCTCGCTGCGCCTTGTCCGCGTCTATCCGCTGCGCCTTGAGTCTCTGGCTCAGGATGTAGAGCATCTCGCCGCCCATGTTCACGTAGAGCAGCGGCAGCGCGCGGAGCGCCATGTTCCCAGTCGCCGCCGAAATAAGTAGGTACACACCGCGTCGCGTGCCTGTGGCAACGGCGGCACGATCGATGGCGACCCGCGTCACACGAGGCGCTCGTCGTTGGACGTCCAGCACACGGGCATCGACCACTCTCCGGCTGCGGCGACGCAGGTGCACCTGGGAGGCGGCACACACGTCGAACACTCGCTGGGTGGCGGGCCCGCTCCGCCACCCCGAAGGCTGGACGCCGCGCCGAACGGAAGCCTGCAGCGGCCGAACGTGCCGCCGACGTTGCGAGGGCCCAGCGACCAGCTGGGGTCCAGAAGGTGCGTTGCGGCCCGCGCAGCGGCCGCGGCAGTGTGCCGTCGACGCCGGCAGCGGTGGAAGCTGCAGCCGGCCACGGCCGCCAGGCAGAGCACGCTGAGTGCCGTGCAGGATCCGATGAGTACGTACGCCAACTGGGCCGTGGTAAGCTTCGTCGAGGAAGGCGTGGCGGCCTCAGGCCGAGCGGCGGATAGCCCGGGTACTGTGCCGAAGGTCGGGGCCTGTACACGAACGATCCGTGGCGGAACACGCTGGGCTCGGTGATGTACTGCGGCGAACGGGGCCTGTTCTGAAGCGCGGGCGGCGCGGGCCACGTCGGTGGCGGGGGCCAGGTGGCCGCGGACGACGAAGCGGCGACGAGCAGCAGCAGAGCCGCCTGCATGGACGGCGACGCACAACCCACTGGCCGGCCGTCAGCGCGCCGTTACGGTCCACGGCGCCCGCAGATGGATGGACGGCAACCGGAAACCAAAGCCGCTCCTCTGCAGCGCACCTTTTCACCGGCCGCCAGAGCGGACCGTTCTGGGGATGCGCGTTCATGGTTCGGCGATCCTGACTCGCATTCGCCGCGGCCTCGCGACGCGCCCGGTTCGGATTCTCCCGTTCTCTTTCCTCCCACCTGGGCGGGCGTAAAAATCAAGCCGCGCGTCGTTCCCCCCCTCCCTCCGGCCGCTCCTACCCCATCGTATACACATTCGCCGTAAAGTCGGTGGCCCGTTGTAGGTGCATTTGGGCCGAATACCGCGCGCCGGAGCGCACGTCGAGGGGCTTTCAGACGTGCCTCGGTGTTAAGCACGTGGCACTTATTATAGTGCGAGGTTGCTTCTGACCTATCTTTATGGCGCCTTACAGAGTTTTGTAGTTTGGCTATTGGGCCGACGCTTTTACAGTCCACCGCCTTGTCATGGAAGACGAACGCTTGCCGCGTGAATCGCATTATCACCGCCCAATTCGAGGAAACGCTTGCTCGAAAGAGCAGAGACTTGACTTTCCCGTGTAGAGCCTGACACGCAGTAATCCCGCAGGCGGCTTTAAAAAGTCCGCGGTCGTGTAAGAAGGGCAGTCAGGCAACGGCCGAAGAAGGGTGTGCGGCGCCCCCTCAAATCATACCGAGGTTCTGAACTGCGACCTATGTCTGTCCTGGACTTCTGAGGCGCACAGGAGTACGAAGAGGGAGGAAACGAAAGGCTGTCAAATAAAGACTGTAAGAGGAAGCAGATGACGCTCACGAAAAAAACCTCTTAAAGCGCCGAATACTGATGACATCACGCTGTCCTCGTTTTCTGTTGCATTAGGCGGAATTCAATGTTTGTTTTTTGTTCTCCTTGATTGTGCGTAAATGGTTCCACAACGAAGTCAAACCAGCCTTTCAATTATACTGCGAATCGAGGGTCACCTTTGCAGCAACTAATCATGTCAATGAAACACAACTTAACCAAATTCGTTGCTGAGGAAAGTTGGTTTTAAGGATAATACACGCGGATTCAACACAGGACACAATAACTGGTGTCACCCGTCTTTATTGTGAGGTAAAGAAAAACAAATCCTCGGCTCACACCACAAACATATAGCAGAAATTATAAACTGACCATGCACGACTTAAAAGTGAACACAGTCAAAAAGGGAAGATCGTTCCATGTCCCAGGAAGTTTCCGTAATCCCACTTTAGCTCCACAGGAGAGTGCAGCAGTCCGGTAAGTGCTGGAGTTCTGGTGGGCGAGGCTGACTGTTGCGTACTGGAAAACACAAGTACACCTTGAACGTTGAAACTGCAGATGGTAAAACTTATTGTATACTTGCAAAGAATTAATGAACGTGGTGCGAAGGCTTTAAAGCACCAGCAGCATGATTTGCGTAGGCGTCGTGTTCTTTGCCTTGATTGGTACACATGCAGTGCCACCCATCTGTGTGTTTGTTGACCAAGACTGATGCGGTGATATCTGCGTCTTTCTGTAATACAGGGTGTGGTTTTGCGCCTTCTTCGTCACTTTGTGTCCTGTTGTTTGAATAGCTTTGATTGTAGACTGAATCTTGATCTCTTCTGGAGAAAACTACTGCGATGTTCCTTTTTGCGAAAATGTCTTGAATTAGAGGACTTGTTTGTCTTAAGCAAGACATATTTAATTTGTCGTCGCTTCACTTGACCCGCTTGCAGACGCCTTTGTTTAATCCTCGAGTGTTCTTCCAAGATTTTTCCATTCGTAGTCGTCCTTGCTGGTGTAGCCCATGGATACTCTGTTGTTCTTGGGCTTGCTTCTGCTGGCATTGATGGCCTTCATGTGGAAGGAACTGAAGTGGCAGCCATTTTTGACCATGGCACTTATTTTCTGGACAGCTTGATGTGGTGTCCAGTATAGGCAGATGGTAGTCAGTGGACCATTATGCTGCAATTCGGGTAATGAAGGTTGTGCGCTCGAATTCACTGGAGACTCTTCGGAGGCTCTTGTGACGCTAGTCCTAATGGACGCTTCTGGCTCTCGGCAACGTGTACGATTTGATGGTTCCGAGCCTCCTGTGTGGTTAAGACTCCCAGGTGTCCATGCACTGGATGGTGACACCGCAGCAGGCGTAGTTTGGTCAGATTTCACTCTGAAATGTTTGCCTTTCTGTGTAACTAACGAGTTAAGCTGTTCTGATGCATGCATCTGCACAGAAGGGCCAGAGCCTGGCTGAGTATCTTCAGGGTTTCTTACCTCTATATCAACCGTAGTAAGCATGTGAGATGCGAGGTGAGCGCTGTGAGCAACTGAAGAGCCAAGCGACGGAAAAGTAGGAGGTGGTCGAAGTGCGCGAGACGGAAATTACTGTGCTCAGGGTGGCTCCCTAATGTGAGTGCTACGGTGCAGTGATGACGTAAAGGTTGGTTTACGATCGGGCAGTTGCAAAACGCGGTGCGGTGGAGGGTACACTCTTCCTGCAAACAGATCTGGCTGCCTTTCATTGAGAGGGTGCTTTAATTGCTCTTGTTTCAAAGGCCGATTCATTTTTGGTGTCCCAATGCGTGAGCAGTGCTTCTGACTGCGGCGACCGAGTGCGATTGTTTCCAGATGGTTGGCAATAAGAAAGTCTTCATCATAGTCACGAAAACGGGCGATCATCTCTTCTTGATCTTTTTCCATGACTCGTCGTTTTGAAATAAGTGGATGAGGTAGAATTTGAAAGCCTCACCGGAGACGTAGTCAGTAAAGTTGATGATCATTTCCCGTTCCGACCAAGATGCAGCGGTAGCGTGGAGCTCGAACAGGTCGAACCAGTCCTGTACAGGTCCATCGTCCACTGCTCCGGTGTACTTTGGGATGGGAAGGTCAGTCGATGGTTCTGTCATGATGCCGGTAATTGCATGCGGCTGAGATCACCTCTCCTGTGGTCGATATTCAGTTGAGGCGTATTGCCGGCGGTTTCGTGAATGATGTGAGGCTGATGAGCGGCGGCCAGGTCTTCATCCTGTCGACTCGTGTGACGCTATGATTAATGGGAGACGTGGCCTGGCTCATACGCCATGTTTATTCTTTGTTTTGTTTCCCTGGGATGATGGCGCATACCCACTCAGGGGGATTGGCCAAGAAAGTGTAGTGCAGTTTTTCTGTGATCATTTCAACTATGTGTAATGAATTGGTATTATAATAAGACTAATGTAAAAAACAACATAAAAAGAGCAAACGAAAAAAAATCAAGTTGAGCAATTTTGAGATTTGAGGTGTTATGATTACCACTCAGCTGCGTTTACTTCACTCTGCCCTGGGGAGTAATAAATATATTTTTTTTATTGAAGATCACAAAGGTATACGCTTGGTTGCCTGAATATAATCGCAAACGGCATTGAAAGCATCCCTGTGGCAATGTCCCAAAACTAAGGCACCAAAGCTTAGGGCCGTTTCCGCCGTCAATCTAACGCCTATTTTCAGAAATGGCATAACTAGTAACCTTTTTCGAAGTATATCGTAGCGGCGACAATACAAAAAATAATGATTTAGTGATTCCATTTCTCCGCAGAATGCACAGAGGGGTGATGTTGTCTGACCAGCTCTGTGTAGATACAGGTTTAGGGGGGGGGGGGGACACGACATCGAAATTTAGTAATTAAGACTTCGAGCTTTCTGGGCTGGCTCCAGTGGGGTTGCCATGGAAACATGAGGTGGTTATAATCTGTCCATGTAGTTACTTTTTCTATCGTATCAGTGGAGATTGCTGATTTTCGATATCTTATTGCTGTGATATATTCAACATCTGGCAGTATAGACAAAACTGGCCCATCAAGTGCGGCTCGTGCTAAGGAATCGGCCAATTCATTTCATCTTAATCCACAGTGTCCCGGAACCCATAGTAACCTCAGGAGCCTCAACTGCGGGGGTACTAATGTTTTAAATGTGCTTAGAATTCGAGAGTTCTCTGAAGCTGTCAGAGCTGCATAAACTGAAAGAGAATCCGTCATTATGACTGCGTTGTTTTGATTTGATGGAACTTTTCGAAGAGCTAAAATAATCGCCACGAGCTCCGCTTCAAAAACTGGAGTAAAATCAGGCAGTCTCACTGAAAAGGACCAGTCAAGCGCATCAGAGGCAATGCCTACACCTGCCTTTTGATTATTTACGGAAGCATCTGTGGCTATTATATTTTTAGTTCCTGCATGCTACAAGTAATCTAATAATATGTTATTTAAAAATTTGAGAGATTGTGATTTGGCGTTTTGGGGG